AGAAATTGAGGCACAGATCGCCACTATCTGATTCCTCAAACACGAAGCAGGAGGGACAGAGATGATGGCGAGATATCGTTTCAGTCGTCATTTCTTCAGATTGACGATTCGATTGTTGCTCGTCCACATTCCTTAAATCTCTCCCCCCGTTTTTTTCTGATTTCATCCCCTTCTTCTGGGCCTTCTTAAGGAAAAGTGCAGATATGCGTTCATGTGAGAGTGCAAGGGATGTGTATATAAACAGCGCATCTTTCTTCACTTTGAACTTATTGGATGGATTGTGCCGTCCGTCCATGAGGATTTGCACGTACTGATGCACTCTTCTGATTCTTACTTTCTCAGTTTTATGTTTGGATTTTGTAGTTGGCTTTCTATTATCGGAAATTGAAAACATTTAAACATTGACCTATTTTTTGAAATTCTCTCAAAAAACCAATCTCGAAAAATTACTTGAAAGGAAAACGAAAATTGTTCAATATTTCATCCATAATTCAAAACAAAATTACAAATCCCATTAGAGTAATTTTCTTGAGATAGAACCTGGCTTTTAGATTTCAAACCAATTAATATTTAGTAGTCAGAACCAGTTGATTGTGCAAAATTGAGAAACTAATTTTGTCAATAATAGCAAGAACATAACAATCTGAACCAGAAAAACAACCCGAGTTTATTAAATCAATTTGGTGGTGCATTGGCCAATAAAAGGTTTTTTTCTTTGTTGTGATTATTACAAAAGCTTATAGGGGTAGTACAAAAACTGCGTTCGCCAGAAATTTGCTTAGCCAGATTGATGAACTATCTCGTAAGACTAAAATACATTATTGGACACCACAAAAATTTCATAACGCTATTTGTTTCTTCCAAAATCTGGAGGACAATTTTCATGGTTTATCTTCTTATCATGCTGTAAAGTAGAAACCACGAAGTGGGAAATGGTGAAATTGGAAATGTTGGTAAGGGATTAAACACTAACAGAAAATTTGAGCAAATATCCGTCTTAACCAAACGCAAAAACAAAAGATCATGCTAGAAGAAGACGCCTACTTGAATGCAATTATTGCAAGGAAAGATTCAAAACGCAAATGCCAGCAGACATGGCGAAACATTTAACGACATGTCAGATCCAGCAGTCCCATTATGGTCGCCAAGTTTTTTATGTAAATATTATCCTATCTTAGAGGCCTAAAACATAGAACTTTATCGAGCCGCTTAGTATGGTAAATTTTATTACTCGAAAGGTCAAAACAAGGAAAATTAACTCGAAACGTTTGGAAAAAGAAATATATTCAGAAAGTAATTTCACTACTCAAATTACCGGGTAGCAGAAGCCACTATCGCCAACCACAACCCCCCCCCCCCCCCCCCCCACAAAAAAAAACTGCAACCATCCCCCTTCCCCTAGTGAGAGACTATAACCCCGTTGCCATTTCCCCCGACATCCCCAGGTGTCTGGAAAACCCATCGCCCCCCGCCCCCCACCCTTACAACTCCTGTTGCCCCTTTTGACTGCAATTTTCTTTTCCCTTCCCTAATATTTTCAACCAGTGCTTGTGATTTTATAGTAACAAATTTGTAATTCATCTTTTTTTTAACTTTATAACTATACAAATTCATATTTTAATTTTACAGATAAACAAAATTTACAGGTATAATTTTATAAAAATATGATTCATGTTTGTAATTTTATAAAAATGTACTTGTAAATTTTACAAATTTATATTTATAATTTAGATGAAAAAGTGTAAAAAAAAATAATTCCAGATGAGACTTCCTACTGGTATTTTTTTCCCCCCGAAATTTCCAGTTCAATCTCCCTCGTTTTAGTCCTCCGTACCGAGCTAACCGGCTATAATATTCTGATTTTTACACTTTCTGGGCTATCGGTGCAAGTTACAAAAAACCCAAAACCAAGTAGTAAAAAAAAGCATCCCAATCAAACAGGAAGGTGTAAGGGCTTGGCAGTGTTTCTCAGAGCAGTCTCGGCCTAAACCTGATCGTCAATACGGGAAGAGAACTCTTGCAAGATCATTAGCCCGCGTCATTGTCCACCCCGGTGTCAGTTTTACCCAGCTAGACTTGGCCGGAACAGTGCTGCCACCTATACACTGACCTCCATTTAAAGTGATGGAAGAAATGGTGCCCTCAAGCAAGGCCTATGCTTCAATCTCCCTTTGCTCCAGTCTCTTCCTCTTCTCCTCCGGTGTCTGTCCCCCCTTCCTCGAGCTTGCCCTTGCCGATTCCTCAGTCAATGCCCTCGTCATATCTTTCCATTTCTTCTTCCCCTTCCGTTCCTCCTCTGTCTCCCAGGCGTCTTCTGCATTCTCTTCGAGTGTGTCTTCAATATCTTCTTTGCTCCCTGTTGATGATGGCTGAAGCCGAATTGCAAAGACAGGAACCCAAATGGACGACGAGAGGAAACCCCTATTCCCTAACGCTATCCTTCAGATTTTCTGTTTGTTTGGTTGCCCAGAAAATGAATAAGAATTGAAAGAATCTCATATCTAATTTTTTTAGTCGATTTTTGGGTGCCGAAATGCCATTCATGTGTTAGTCGGATAGCTAACGTGCTCGAGTTTAGTAGTGCATTTTCTTGCTCAACGAAGATGTTCTGTTTACTGGGTTTTTCAGTTTTGCTGTCTGGAGGTTTTGATTCCAAGTTAAGCCCCTGCATTTCGGTGTTTTGCGAATTAGCTGGTAGCACTTGATACTAACTGTTGTTGGGGTGAAACTTGTGAAAATGGTGTTTCGTTCCTGTACACATTCTGGAGCAAGTTATCCATCTGCGCCATCAGCCATAACCGTTCTCTTCCATCACTTGCCACCATCAAAAGTGCCCCTCAAACTCTTCTCAGCCTATTTGCTCACAGATGAAACCAAATACGAAATCTAGCCGTTGCATATATTGCCCAGTGAGCTGACCGACCTAACTACCTAGCCCTTGTATAATTTAATGCCGAAGGAATTGACCGATCTAGACCTAGCTTACGAAGACGCTCACCGACCTAACCCTGGCCGTTGCATGTTTCACTGGCGAAGGAGCTGACTGACCTTAGACCGAATCCTGCCTTTAAGACAATGTTTGGTTGGAAAATTTGAAATCCTCGTTTCCCTATATTTATTTCCTGAAATCTACACTACTCAGTCATGGGATCCGACTTCTTAATTATTTTGAAAAAGTATATTTTTAACTGTTGTTGCTTTAGAAAATAATAAAGTTTACTTTAGGAAATTTTAAACTTTTTTAAAAATTATTAATGTTTTACGAAATTCATTTAAAAATGGTTTATTTAATTTATTAAATAATCTTTTTCATACTCTGTATTTTTATTTTCTATCAATACTTTAGATATGTGTCTTTTACATATTATTTATTATTTTTTCATTAAAAATGAGAAAATTTTCAGATTTAATTTTTAAAATGACCAAAATAACTCCTAGTTTAAAATCCAAAAAACTCATAATTAAAATATATAATAAAACTAAAATTTTTACATAATAAAAAATATAAAATACAAGAAAACCCTAAAATCCAACTCATTTATAACTGAAATACCAGCTCAAATACAATTGAAATACCTCAAATAACAAATAATATATAAAATACACATATTTTAATTTACGAGTTATAACTGAAATATCTCAGTTAGAACCTCAAATAACAAATAATATATAAAATACACATATTTTAATTTATGAGTTATAACTGAAATATCTCAGTTAGAACTTTGTATTTCAATTGTAACTAAGCTAGTATTTCAGTTATAATTGAGTTGGATTTGAGGGTTTTCTTTGTATTTTTTAATTTTACTATGATATTGTAAAAAATTGTAATTTTATTACATATTTTAATTTATGAGTTTTTGGATTTTAAATTAAGAGATATTTTAATTATTTTTTAAATAAAATTTAAAAATATATATTACCAGAACCTCAAGCCGGCCATTTTTTTTAAATAATTAATAAGTTAGTTCCTAATCAATCGGCTTTTCAAATATTTTTTTTTAAATTAAAAAGCATATTAAAAAGTTAAGTACTCAGAAACTGATTTTTCAACCAAATATCTCTAAAATGTTAAACAGTTAACTAGAGTCTTCTAACAAGAATTAGTTATTAAACAACTAATTCCGATTGTTCAAAGGTAAAGAGTTGAAGACATTCCAATTATCCGGGATTGAAGCCTCGGAGGACAAAGAGTTGGAAATGCTCTGGCAGTCTGAGATAAATTGATTGAAGGAAAATCGAGTCTATAATTGAATTCTTGTTAAGATTTAAATAAAATTTTCTAAAATTAATTGTATATAAACATTCTTAACTTATTATTGATAAATTTTAATTAAAATTTTCTTTATAATTATTCTGATTAAATTTGAATTATTTTTGTTCAGATGGTATGTTACGCTATTGCTTCTGCCATAAAAAACAATTATGGATCTATTATTCATAATTAATATAATATATAATTCTAACACTGAGATCGTAAAGGCCAAGCAATTCCTGCCTCGCTCCCTCTCTATCAGCAAAGATGATATATACATATACGATGAATATTATAGCATATTTAAATAAAATGAGTTATTCAAATATATACAATACCGTATATGGGCTACTTTTATGCGCAATGCTTCAGCATTTATATAATAATGCAACTGTTTTAGGCTTTTAGCAACAACCCCAGTGGAAATCAAAGCACCCAAAAACAGAAAAGCTCGGCAAAATGAAAAATCAACCTAGCTATATCTTAGCTAAAGTGAGGGTAACGATATAATATTCTGCTTGGTTTTGCATTCTGATTTCCGTTTTCTATTCTCAGTTTTAGTTTTCTTCGTTTTTCAAAACAGGTAATTTCCTAATAATTTTTGCATAAAGAACTTGCACAAAGGGTGTTCTATTTCCAAAAACAGATAACTGTTTTGAAAAACAAATCCAAACCCGACTTAAGGTGGACAAAGTTTCTTTTCCACAAAAGCAATTCGATATACATTCGGTTCTAGTTTTACTAGTCAAGTTGCAAGTGCAAGCACTTTTATAGTTCCTTGACTATTAGCAGTTAGCATTGTTTTGCCATTATTTTGCCAACATACAGCACTAATGAAATAAGATCCAGCATCGTTTGCAGCATCATCCATGTCTGAGGAAGCAAACTTGTAACAAACTGCAGGTTTAGAGATAGCCTGCAAGAAATTGCACAACATGATCAGAATTAAGGGTAAATATGAAACATACAACTTCTATCGAGTATTGCATAGGACAACCTTGTGATACACGAACACTTCATTTGTTTCACTGCCACAGGCAATATAATTGCCACTTACTGAGAGGCCGACGAAATTCTTCTCATTCACATGGCCTTTGAACATGCGTATCTGAAAGATTTATAAACAAGAAAAGAGGAAAAAATCAGTTTGATTCTATGGGAAGGAATTTAAGTAGATATATGTTTGGTTTCCGGAAAATAGGGCTCTACGTCTGGCTTTTTGATAAAGAACTAGCTTTTGAGGTTTTAAAAATTGATAAGTAATAATATAATATCCAGCATTTGCCAAAAGACCAAAAGCTCAGGCTTTTGCAAAAGCCCTCAAAAAAAATAGCGCTTTTGCAAACCAAACACCTTATTATGTATCATAGAAGTGTTTCGTTCCTGGCCAGTCCCACTTGGAGCCAAAACAGATGTATGATAGAAAAGGACAGTTATGAAGAAGAATTAGGCAAATAGCTTTTGAGCTTTTGAGGAAGAAACATGACTTTTACGATAAAATAAAATAAAAACTGGGCTACTTACAGGTCGATTTTCTTTGACATCCCACAAGCACAATGTGCTGTCAGTAGATGCAGAAGCAAGTTCACTGCGGACAGAAATTTTACATATGATACTGCTTTCCTATGTCCACTGAAAACATGCAGCGGTTGGCTGACATTTCTTAGGTCATAATAATAAACGTGGTGATCAGCAGAAGCTACCTACAAAACATATGCTATGAACTAAATCACTGGTACTAGGTCATGAGATCTTATCTACTTTGGTTGCCCAGAAAGGAAGTACTGGGGGAGAACATACCGCAACATGCATGCAAGATCCAGGATTATACTTGACAGAACAAATATTTGCTTTCATGTCAATAGTGAGAGCACTTGCCTCCTGTCTTGTGCACCAAATTTTGACCTGTTAAATACAGAGTGTGGAAAGAGGGTCATTGACACGAGAGACTAATTGACAGTCAGCCGGTTTTTTTTTCACAAACTATTTAAAAGTACATACTCCGAGGTATTTGTTCCAAATTGAATCAAGCTCCAAGTTACTAATGTTTATTAATATTCACATTCACCTATTTGATCTTCTTATTTGGTAATCAATGATGCACGTTACTTATCCCTGACTTAGTACTCGTAGTTGGGCACAAGGAAAATTTTCAAAAGAAAGTTTTGAATATCTCACTCAGACCCTTCCATAAAATTATGAAAGATGTCACCACAATCTTCCTACCCAGAAAATTTCATGCATAAGTAGCCAGTGTTTATCAACAACTACGTTTGACAACAGATTAAGATGCATTTTATCAAGATGAAGAAAATTAACTTTCATCTGCTCCCGGTACCTTGCAGTCGTCACTCCCTGATACAAGCATTGAAGGCTCTGTGTATGAAAAATCTACACTCCAGGCTCGTTTTTCATGCTCCTCGTATTCCATCACACTCTGAAAAGAAAAGAAAGTTAGGTTAATACAGGTCTAGATTCGCATATCCTTTGTAGAGCATCTAAGCTTTTGCTTCAATGGAAAATGGTAATTAACTCCAGAGAACAGAAACTACCTGACGAGTAGTCACATCCCAGACAGTTACCATCCCATCATAATCACTACTTGCTATATGGATTTTTTTGTACTTATTCCAACTCAAGCAGCTAAGTTTTGATCGTGATGACATTTCAGCAATAGGGCATTGCATATCTTGGTCATTCACCACCTAGGAAGCAAGGACAATTATTACCAAGTGATCAGAAGACCATGATAAAACTGATGGCTCAAAATAAAGAATATTTATTACCACAACATTTTACTAAAACCAACTACACTGACACATTAGATAACCATGGAAAGGTCATGATGATGGCAGTTGCAAGAGGCAATGTGTATACCTAAAGTCTACCTAGCTTCAATAATTAAAGATGGTAGGCTAATACCATAATTTTCCTCAATACCTACCGATGAAAATTCATAAACTTTGATGCGTCTTGAAACTCCCGCAGTAGCAAAAAATTCATCATCTCGATCAAATTCTATGCTGGAAATGAGTAAATCAAGGATAACTTGGTAAATGCAGTTAACCATGAAAACAACAGTTTGTGCAGATGTGTAAAGGAAGATGGCTGGAGTGTGTCACTGAAAGAAGATGAAAGCTTGACATGTCTACTTAACAAGAAAGATATCTAAAAGCTAAGAAAGCTACAGAACCCCATAAAATATATATGCATTCTTACTCTCAAATATTTTTACTTTACTTTTGAAATCTAAGTTATTTGGTCAGTGGTTTTTTTTTTTAATTTTTGGGAGGGGGGTGTGGGGGAGTTCATCAGAATGTATTACACAACTGGGGATGAGGCACTCTTCTTAACTCAAGACGACCACCCTAATGGTGGAGTTCCCTGCCAACTAGGCTAGTCCAGTAATGCTTTCAACAAAAGTTACTATTACCTGATAATTCATGCTATCAGTTTGAGACTTCTGTCTTATAAGCTTATAACTATTAGTCTTTCTTGCAATTGCTTTCACAAGAATTGCCACTAAAAGACACATGGTCATCAATGTCATTTTTTATGCTTGTTAATCCTACCACTAGTTTGCGTCAATAGAAAGTCAGGAACTATGTAACAGAAAATCAATCATTAACATTAGCCCTGAGAGAGAGATTTGCAATCTGTAACTCACATATACATAACCAGTCCACTAATATGAATTCTCATCCACCATTTGGAACACAGTATCCAATACGTTTCACAATCAATGAACTAAAGTGGAAATTGTCAGTTTCTTATATGTTTTTTTAATAGATGACTCAATTTGGATAGATGTTTACAATAAAAGAAACATACTTCAAGTACAAAATTTGAGATCAACTGTTTGTTTGTCGGGCTATATAAATGTAACTGCGACAAACTTACCTTGACACAATATTGGCCGAGTGAAAAATATCCACGTTCTTGACATCAGCAACAACTTTCAGTTGGCTATTTTAAACAGGTAAATTGAAGGAGCAATGCAGGTATACAGATTACATCAGAACATTCACAACCCCCATGTAACCAAATTAATTTTTGTGTGTGTGCGCGTGTATCTCTATGTATGTGCATGTGTGTGTGTGTGTGTGTGTGTGTGTGTGTGTGTGTGTGTGTGTGAGTGTGTGAGAGAGAGAGAGAGAGAGAGAGAGAAACCTGTGTTGTGTAAAGGCAGCAAGCACAGACTGGAAATCCTGAAGTCCATTATGGTAAACTTCTCCATCCAGGACACTTGTGTCCTTTTCTTCCTGTTTAGGAGCCTTCTTCGCCCAGTGCCGGCGCCTTTGCAAGTAACACTCTTGTAGGTCACGGAACTATTGAAATCAAAAGTAATGACATTAAAGAAAAAAACTAGAACATACAAAAGAAACCAAAAAGAGGACAATTTGACGGCATCTAATAGGCTGGGCACACACGTTTAACCTATTCAGTATGTGATATTCTAAGTTTTGAGCAGAAGTCTACTGAAAAGTGCAAAGCTATTAATGTTTATATAGGTAGTGAAAAGATTTCTTCGCAACAGCAGAAGATATAACTTGTAAGAATGGCATAACTCAGCATGAAGGCTAACATCAGTACACTGATTCTTCGGTATTTCACGATCCTTTAATCCACCAAAAGTATCAACTTCACAATCCTATATATTTGTCAAAAGATTGTTAACGCAAACAATAAGGTATCACCAATTGTTTTTAATTTAGAGAAATCTCAATAGAAGACTGACCTGTGCATACACCCTCTTTCTTGCTACTGGAAATCCTGATTGAGTAACTTGTGAATTAGATCCAGAATACTCATCCTTTCTTTGGACCACTTCTTCTGAGAATCCTAGAGCCTTCACATCACCTTTTCTGCTCTGCAAATTACCTGAACTTGGCCAACCTTGACCCTGCATGCGAGGGACATTAGAAATGGTACCACCTCCATGTCCATCAGCCAATGAAGGGCAAGCTTTTCTCATGGAACAGTTAACTACAAGCATCCCTAATTTTACTGGATATCTCACTTTTGACCGATGCAACTCCATTCTGTGTCTCTGTACAGCATTTATATCCTCCTTAACGTACTGGAGATCAGTTTGTATCTACAGAACAAGCAGAAGAACTATCTTTATCAAACTATGAAATCATGATGGAGGCCATGTGTAAGCAAAATGCACAAAATTCATGTTGCCAAAACATGTCGGAAAACTTTTACAAGCAGCTACCTCAAGTAAAACAGATTATTTACTTGTTATATAAACTATAAACGTGTGAAGGCTGTAAAGGCAATGAATTCAAAATCAAGAACCAACCTCATTCAGTTCTTCAAGCTTCTGTTTCCTAAGGCAATTCAAAAAGTCAAGGAGAATCTTCGTATTTGTCTCAGCTTCTTCTTGTACCATTTTCCTCCTCTTCTCCACAAGCAGTGCCAAGAAACTGTTCAGCTCCTTAACTGATACCTCACAACCCTGTTTAACAACCAAACACTCGTCACATGCTAATAAATGAAGGCATTCAAGCATGGCAGAACAAACCTCAAGAGTATGTAGGTGCCATTTCTATTGGAGAATTAGCTAAAGATAATTAACCCTACCAAGGTCCTTACAGGAAAAGAAATCCTTCCAACTAAGCATATTTGCTGATATGTGGAATACAAACAATCATCTGTCTTAAGTAATCTATGTTAAGCATGCAGCATTTCATTCTTCATAACAGTATGACAACAATTGCAGTCAAGCAACAAGTGATTAATTATCTTTCCGCTAGAAAGAAGAACACATTGCAAGGAAAAAAAATGAACCCGTCAGCATCACCAGTCAAAAAAAAAATTGTATATTGACCTTAAGAGAGAGAATCGAAATGAACACAAAATGCCTGAGGGGTAACAAGTTGCAACACTATAGAAAATATCACAATGACAGTGAAACTACCAGTATTAGAAGTCAAAGTGAGCTTCCTGTGTGAGTTCAGATGCAGGAGAATCATACTGCTAAAACATAAGAACTTTATATTGAGCTAGTTGAAGGATTCATTGAGTTAGAAAACTATTTAATACAAAGACTTCCTTGCAGTCTAGCCAGGAATATATTTAGAAATCCACGTTTAGCAGGAAACATTAAATATGATATCGTGTACCATCTGAGATAACAAAGCAATGCAAGAAAGTAGGAGACATCTCCATGTCATGGACAATAGTGAATTGCTATACTTTTCATGGATGATGTTGCTGAATTTGAACTAAACAAACAATTGCAGACAAGCCAACATAAACATCCTCCCAATACTCTTGGAAAGCTTAAGAAAATAGAGCCTGAAAGAGAATTTGAACTTAGATGGCTTACAGGAAGTAATAGATTAAACATACGTATGCATGCCATCTACATAGGCACATCTTCTCTTTTAATCTATAAGCCACAGTTCTTTAATAACATTCTGTCATTCACATAAATGGTATGCACCTCTTCAAAGCAAACTAAAACAGTTTCACTTATTTAGTGGTAGTTTAAGCACCACATCCAATCAATTTAGCCATTTAGGTAAAATAGATAACTTATCAACAACATTTATATAACGTGCTTTTAGCAAATGCATTAGCTCATATACAACATCAAATGTCAAAGAAATACAAAATTAAGGAAAAGAAAAGTGGGGAAAAAGCTGCTATGTATAAAGCAGTCTAAAAAAGAAAGTTCTCAGTTCTCCAGTAGCACTTGTGTCCAAAATATTTGAAAATGTAATAACTGACCTGTTGCAGCGCCTGATAAAATTGTTCAAATGGATTGGCGGTTCTTGCTTTTTGATGAGCAGATCTCTTCCTCAATAACTATAAAATTTCTCAGAGATGTTAAATGTAAGCCAAATATCATGACAGATAATTACAAGGCATAAGTTAAACAAAGCAGCCAGTTAAACACTGTCCCATTTCTTCAGAATTAATTAAAGAACTTTCCAATTATTTGGAGTTGATTGAGTGATGGCATAACTACAGGTCAGTACAACTCTTAAATTAAATAATTTCTTGGACTAGAACATGTATCAAAATGCAATCCATCATTTTGTCTCTTCATAGGAAACTTAATAGAGCATTGTCCACTCTATTTTAGATCCCTTTAATAATTAATATTATTTCCTTAAATTCCTTTTATCATAAATTGGAAGGGGGGGTAAAATTGACTGTCAGAACCTCCTCTAATCTTTTGTATCTTCTATATAAGGAGATCAAACATCTGCTATTTCACCATCAATCAAAAGCCAGAGTAAGAAACTAGAGATTTTTATGTATGCAGTAGAAAGCTAAATAACGAAATCCTACAGAGTACTTCTCTACCTCGAAATGAAGCATACAGAACCTAATCAATTAGACTGTCTAAAAATTGGCTCAACAGGGGCAGCAGCTGTGAATCATAATTATTATATGTCACTCAATAATTTTCAGAAACAAGTCCTCTGTTTTTGGGAATACAGCTATCAGACAACATACAGGAGTTACGACTATAATTACTAGAATAGAATGCAAATATCCTCAAAATGAGTCCCAGACAGACCGCGTAATGAGAAATTTATTCAACATCAACCTTATACTTACCCACAGCGATATCATAGGCAGACAACATTCTTCATATTTATAAAAATAAACTCCAATTTCCTAGTTTCCATGGTCTAATGGGCCCATCGGTAACAACAGTTTGCAACTTTTGAGAAAACAGGACAATTGAAAAGTATAGGGAATTTTTTATTCTGTTGCACCCCTACATTTGAATGGAACATTGACAATACTCAAGGTTCGGTTATGGACGAAATAAGATCCATAACATCGAAATTTCCACACATATTCCGAAATTTATCATATAATTTCAAAAAATAACGCGATCCCAATTCACGCTAAAGCAAAGATGAAGCATTACCTTATTGAGAAGAAAATTGGGAAAGAGGTTGCTGGCGGTTAGATAGTGACCACAGCTAGGGCAATCACTCTTGCTCCGAAGGTGAGTCACAATGCACATGTAACAGAAGCTGTGCCCGCATGCCGTCAGAAACGCGTCCCTCATGACCTCCATGCATATCGAACAGGAGAAGTCACTGTCCAGCTCCGTCTCCGTGGTGTCCACCGTCTCTGGCGCTTGAGTGGCAACTTCTCCGACGGTCTCCGATCCCACTGGTTCCAACTCGACGGAGTGCACCAGCGGCCCCATTGCTCTCTCTCTTTCTGCCGTCTCTCCCTCTTTCTCTATACGTGCACAATCATTTTTCTGTCTATGAATAGATACCCTCTCCGTCTCTCTGACTGCACCGTAATTTTTTGTGGTGACTGTGCGTCGTGCTGGTTCTGAATATTTCCGTGCCGGTGAAGAGAGGAGAGAGAGAGTGAGGAAAGAGAAAAGTATGACGATTGGTTGTTTGAATGTTCCTCAGGCTCTGCATATATTGCGTGTGAGTGTGAGAGAGAGAAGTGGGATGAAGATTTTTCCGACGGTAGAAACGGAAAACGTTAGCCGGGCGTTTCTTCTCGTTCGTTAATTTTGTCCTTTTCAACCCACTAGACGTGTTATAAATTTATTTAAATTCTGGATTAAAAACAAGTGATGCTTTATTAAACAAAACTTTTTTCTAACTAAAACAAGGAAGTCTTCCCGTGTAGAAGTGTTTCTTGGCTAGTGACCTTTTTTTCTAAATATATTATTTTTATTAAATAAAAATATTATTTGCTTGTAATATTTAAATTTTTAGACGTAGAGGTTTTTAATTTATTTTTCATTTTGATATTTTTTTTTTGTAGAAACAGAACTTTCTAAAAACAAACCCACGATAGACTAAAAGAATAGTTTTTGAAAAAGAAACTTCTATTTTTGTAATTTTTATTTTTATTTTTATATTTCTTTAAACTATTTAAAATTTAATATTTTAATTTTTGACTCTTTAAGTTTTTTCATTTATTGTGAAAAATAAAAAATAATTTTAAAATATTTTAAAAATAATATAATTTATTTCGGTCTTTTCAATGTTTCAAGTATTTTGTTATTTATCAAATATATATATATATATATATAAATTTATAAATTAAGAATTTTCTTTAAAGGCATTGCCTCCGCCAACTTCCAAAAATCTTCTTGTAAGTATAAATTTTGTAAAATTTTTATTTATTATATATTTGATTTTTTAAATGTTAATTTTATATTAAAAATGTTAAGAAAAACACAAACAAATCAAACAATGAAAAAGCACATGCATTTTTTTAATAACCACACGTCTAAATATAAAAATATTATTTCGATAAAAAATGGGTAAAAATTCTTATTTCAAAAAATTAATTTACAATATTAGTGTAATAACAAATAAATTATTTATCGAAATAAAGAAAATAAATTTTGCTTGGAAAATTTGAAAAGAGAGATCAGCATCACCCACGTGATCCGCGCATGGCAAGAGTTAGGCGGTCCCGTCAAGGGGTGTGGGTGACGCGGCAGGACCCACGGGGGACAGCGACGAGGCTGAAACCGGAGTGTAATGAAATTAGACTTAAATAATTTATAATTTTTATATATAAATCAACTAATTTTTGCCAAAAAAAAATCAGATTAAAAATTTAACGAGATGGGAAAATTTTTGAATGATGGACTTGGAAATAAATTAATTAAAAATAAAAAGGAGGGGTGGGAGCCTTAGCCCTTGGTCTAAAATAATATTTACATTTCTAATTTCTTCTCGTATTTGTTAGGAATGCTCTCCTCCCAAATTCTATGTGTCATAATAAATCCTTCAGAGAAGGATTGAAGAGGACGGAGAAGACAAGACAGCAAAAGGATAATGGAAAAAATATAAATGCAAAATTTTTTATTTATAATTTTTAAAAATTTAGATAAATAATTTTTAATCATTTTAGAGAGAAATGATTAGTTTCGTAATTAGAATTGGGCCCATCCATAAATAAGGATGTAACAAGCCCTAAACAAGTCAAATAAAGCATTAAAATATTTTGGAGCTATCCGGATACAACTTGGTTTTGTCAATTGCCGGGCACCTTGCCCTGTTGACCAGGACTTGCCCCTTCCTTTCAAAACAAGTAGTGCATGATCCACATGTACTTCAGCCCCTAGAATTTGGCTTATTTTGTATCCTTAATTTATTATCCTCCAAAAAATTCCTTTTCTCAGCTACCACACAATGGAGGAGGAGGCTTTTGATATTGGACCTCAATCAAGGCCTAAAGGTCCCCCCACCCTTAATCACGCGTTTATCACCTAACTTCGAATTGACACAGGAAACGTCCCACCGCATGATATTAATTGATCTTCCATTGTCTTCTTCGACCACTTCCCGTCTGTTTTACCTTTCCTACCGAAGCTGAAGCGAAGAGGGTACTAAAACTTGAGACCCATTCCTTTATTCCAAACCGGAGTTACAAATAGAGGGGCTGTCTGTTCGTAGGTTTTTTGGACTTCAATTTTTTTTTAAAATAATGTCATAAACAAAAATTCGATTTTACCCGAGATATTTTGATTATATTTTATTAAAAAAAAATTCAGAAAACTCAACATTTCTATAAAAAATAAAATAAAAATAACAAAAAACATAACTTGCTAACCTTAATAATCTGGTCTGTTCATGTTACTTTGGATAGTCCAAATCTACTACAACTAAGAAATATTTAAATTTAAAAATTTGATATGATAATATTAAAAAATTTTTAAATCCTTTGTCAATAAATGAACCGCTTAAATACGTTGAAATGGAGAAATGAAATTACCCTGCTATAGCTTTCTAACAAGTCTCAAGCAAGCATTGATTCTTCATTCAATTTCAATACCTAATTATCTCTCCCAGCATTTTAGTCAAAGATCCTAAGCGAACACGTAATGTAACATAATAATGGAGCGTCTGCATTTATGATCATAAAGCTAACCAGCAGGAAGATATTTCTCATGTAAACTATTTCCTGATAGAATGCTCATTGCCTTTGCAAGCACAAGAAGACAGTGAGTAAAAAGTGTGAGCTACAGGAACAGAGGAACTTCCTTTGAAACTTGAGCATTACAATTACCTCATCCCCAACAATTATTGCCCTAAATAGTGCTCCCTGTATATGTTTTATATACCTTTCTGTGTGTATTAAGTTTCCCTCGCTTGAGGGGACCTAAATGACTTTTTTTATACAATCCACAATACCTTCACAATCTGCCTGGGGCAGGACACAGCCTGGATCCGCTTCAAGGTTATCCTCTTGATACGAATGAGGAGAGCGAAGGTTTCCATGAGTCTGGCAAGCCTTCATTGTCTTGCAATGTTCTCCCTCATCATCTCTGATGTTCACAAACACGTCATACAAATTCTCTGGAACAAGAATATAATAAATGCTGCCTTAGTTATATCAGCATATACATTTTGTTAGACGAAAATATTTTGCATACTAAATGTCAGTTTCCAGTAGTCACAAAATGGAGCAAGACTTTAATTTGCAATCCTTGTGGAAAAAACCAGTTCAAGCCAGTTGACTCCATGTGCAGTGGATTGTGCCGGTTTGTTTGGTTTGAGTGGTTTGGCAAGAAAAGAAAAGCAAAGAAAGAGAACTCTTTCCTTCCAAATTACTTCTTTGGATTAGATGTAACAAGAGAAATGGGTGGAAAAGGAGAGAACTTGAAAGAATTCCAAACCCCTTGCAACCCCTATTTTGAATCACTTCAAAGTTGGAGAGATTCGGAGAGAAAAAGGTAATCACTGTTTACTTGAAAGTTTATAATGCCAACACTACCCCCGTAAACATGGAAAGAAGAAAATGAAATGGCAATCATGCCCTAACATTCTCTTGATGTCTCTACAATTATCCAAACAAGGAGAAAAATCACAATATTTTCTTTTATTTTCTCTTCATTAATGGAAACCATTATTGTTTCTTCTGTTCTCCCCTAAGTTCCCAAAAATTTTTTAATGTTAAAGCTTGCCACCTGCCCCCCAAAATTGCATGCAGGCAACCTTAATTTACTACAAACCCACTAAACAAGAACAGATACCAAACTCACCTATTTTTGGCCTTCGGGTATTGGGAACTCTTGCGGTTTGAAACTCATCTGGAAAAGAAATATATAGAATTATAAAATTCACCGAACAATATGGAATATATAAAACACAATAGTAAAGGAAAAACTATTACTTTCCTCCCTCAACTCTCTTGTCTACTTTTCTTGGAGGCAGTGGATATTCAAACTTACCAAACAAGTATAAATCATCCCCAGTGTAATATTTCACAGCAACTTCAGGAGCAGGCAATTTTTTCAGCACCTCTGCATTAAAACAAATGGACAAGATAGCCTATAATTGCTAACACGAGCTGAATATACAACTATTATAATTAACAGGCCACGTCACCAAATGGAAGTTGCAGGCAGAAATAAATGGTATAATTATTTCAGGCTAATTAGATAATTAGGATTGCCCATTGACTTCTAGGCATTAACACAAGATGTCTATAATATTGATCTAATTTTATCAAAAGAAAAAATCTCTTTGAATTTGAGCTTGCCTGCCGGAAACCATGTAATAGTTCAAGGTACTATCTTGCAGTTACTAAAACACAAGGAGTACACATCATTATTGTAATCAACAGGCCTTTTCACTAAAGGAAAATCAAGGGAATGACCGTTTTGGATCTAATCAAATAGCTATAATCACCCATTCAATACTATACATATAACATGTCTATATAGGTTGAACAGAAAAATTTCTTTGAACTAGGCTTGGTGAATGGAAAACAATTTTACTTAACAATCACAACAATGGATTTTACTTTGTCATACAAGAGAAATTGAAGCTAATTGTAGATTGTTGACACTTGAATAAACAAAAAATACCTCCTTGTGTCTTGAGAAATTTGTCATAAGTTGTATATGCATGGTTCTCCACACATTCAGATAAATGATCTGCACCAAATACCAAATGTCTAAAATGATCAGTATATGAGAATAAATGCTTTGATCTAGCTATTTCACAACACTTCTACCATCATCAACTGAAAATATGATATATTAATACCACAAGTGTTTAGCATCAAAACATGGGAAAATCGAGATTTTGAAAGTCTGAATCTAAGAGTTGGAATCTTCATTGTAGAACCATTTACAGTGAATTAGAAAGATTATATTGAGATAAATCAAATAGATCCATCCTTTTCTTTTCTACATGACGTGTTGCATAATTCTGAAACAAAAAATATGCAGTATGAACGGTCATGACAAAACAAACCAACATCAGATTTGGTATACTTACATGCCATTCTTGGGCTTATTGCATACATCAAAACTGTCATAAAGTAATAAAAGATTGCAATATGTTGAGCAAGAAAGCGGTCGAACCACCAAGCATTGCCCCCTAGTTCCTGAAAAAAAAAAATTCCTCAATTAAAAAAACTTATGAATATTGTAATTTGTGGAAAATCAAAATTCAGAATCTTCAGCAAAAGCGTGCCAATAGAAATAGAAGGCTAGATCTATAAGTATGATGCTTCAAACTGTCACAATTACAAAACTACTGGTTTCTAGCACTCCAAGCCTGTCTTGTTACCATCAGCAGTTTTCTTACTTAAACTACTACCCTAGTTCCTGTCTCTACTTCCTCACACTATTTCATATTCCTTGTTAGGATCCTAAAGTATAAAATGCTTGGAACAAACACAGAGACCAAGAAGCAAAAACCAAGGCAGACAAAGGTAAAAAAACTTCTCTACTATAATCCATAGAGATATATTTTAGGACACACCACCCTTTCATAAAAAATGTCAGTAAAAAAAAAATGGAAAAGCACTAAATGGATATAAAATCTTGAGGAAGCTTGAGGCAAAAGCATTACTTCCATTATAAGAAGATGGTGCATTTCATTCCAGCTTTCAGCGAAGTGCACTTTAAGATAATCTGCTCTTCTCCACCATCCAAAACTCTCATACATATGCAGAACAGAAATGAAGGCTGCCAAAGTAACAAGAAGATGCCACTAGTCTGAGGCCAAAAAAAAACAAAAAAATGTAGGCACAATAGTTTATGCTGGCCTGACTCATCAAATAATAATGACTGTAGGCCATGATATATACGTGACTCACCATAACCAAGTATAGTCTACTGGTGTACTAGCAAGATACTTTGTCAAGTATGTATTATCTGCAAGTATTTCCTTGAGAACAAAAACTAGGACCTTCGATAAAGAAATTTGCCTATATGGAACTTGATTCCTCTTCAAGAGAATTAAGAAAAAGTAGAAGGTAAAGAAGCTTCAGCACTCACCAAAATAAGGAACTCTTGCAATAGTTTCCAATACAAAAAACCTTGCATAGTGTCGATCATGGTACAGAGTATCCAGTATCTTTATCACTGCCTCCTGGAATGATTATAAAGTCAGAAGTTAACTTATACACAATTATAACAACTTTCAGCTAAGAAAGAAGTCTTAAAGATTCCAACTCGCATGTCCAAATGCAGAAGCATAATTGCAAGAATAAGTTAACATTTCTTTTTTCTATTTTTGGCTTCCAGAAATGAGGGACAGAACAATGAAGTAGATACTAGAATCCTACATAGGAAAGTAGTGCTACATACTTATGGGTCCTTGTCTCCAACATTTTATTACAGAAGGATGGCAGTGATAGCATATACTATATAATATGATATACATTTAATTACTAACCAGAGTAAATAAGCCATCACTTTCATTTAGAAAAAATAATACTAATAATAACATATCGTATCAAAGTCCACTACTCCTTTTATTTCATCAACAGCACGGAGCTTTTATTGAATGAATGGCTGAAAAACTTAAAAGGCATTTTTATTGTGATACATCTAAGTCAGTTATATTGAGAAAATGTCCATAGCAAAATTAATACCATAACTGAAGCAACATAATCAAATGAAACCAAGAGGAGAAAACTTACTGTAAGCAAAATATTAATTGACTGTTCAAATTTAACAACCCATCTCTCCAACCTGCTGGAAGATTCCTCATTGTTCATTTTCCTTTCATAATCGGGAATAGTTTTTGATCGGAATGATTCTTCCACAGCCACTTTCTCCTCATCATCTTGCAAGAGTGTTGCTTGGACTCTCAGCCTACACACATTGCATCGAATTGCAAAATGTAAACAAGTAACAAGACTTTCAATGTCTCAAAAAACAATCAACTAATATTTAAAATCCATCAAATTCCTAGCAATCTACTAAAAAACCATTACACATTGGTATATATGGAGCTTTTGCATTCAAAACACAGCAAGAATCCACAAATAACACGAATTAGCATTAACGGTTCTGGTATGTATCATAATACTAAAATTGCAAATTTTAATATAGGATCTTATATATAACAATAGTAATTTCAATAATTCTTCGTATAAAACAATACTGAAAATCCTTTACAAACACTATGTACACGTTCTGCGTGTTTGTAACCTCAAATAATCGGCACTAATATATGCTCATTTCTGAAGCATATTTTTTTAATTTACGAAATTTTAACAGGTATTATTCAAAATTTTACTTCATTTACTTGCCAAACAGAGCAAATTCCAAGAAGAGAAAAATAATACTGCAGTAGAAACTCCAAAGACCGGAAGGCTCAAATTTTTTACCTAGAGAATTTGATAACAGATAAAGATCAGAAATTCAATAAAATACCTAATTGGCAATTGTCGACAGGAAAGAGGGCCGAAACGAAACGGGCTTTGACAGTTCAAAGATGTTAAAGAACAACTTTTCTGAGTTTCCCCCTTGAACGTCGACGACGATGACACCACAGTAGCACACACCGTAGAAGGGAGAGAAACCGACATAATCCTTGTTTCTCTTCCCTCCCACACTTCCTCTCTTTATGGTGAGCTCACGAAGAAGATTAATTGAAGATCGAATCACGAATTCAACAGAAAGTGCTGAAACGTTTGTGAGGGCATGGCATCCTTGGCTGGTCGAAGAGCCCGATGTTTAGCAAATTGTGGGTAGCAGAGGACGTCAATGACAGAAATTTAAATGCAAGGACACATTTCGGGAATTACATGTAAATCTGTGCTCTATGGCAAACGGATATTTAAGCGGCTGCTTCGTCGTTTTCCACGATCCGTCATGGCGGCAGACAGTTGGGCATATTCCTTATTCAGGTATTGAGCCGACGGCCCAGGTCACATGTGGGCTGCCCATTTAGTTATAAACAAGCTGCAAGCCTGCAACTTCTTAAAATTTTTAGCCCAGTTTTTTTCTCAAAATTACAATCATCAATTGCCTGATTAGTTTTTTAACAGATCATTTTTTCTCTCAAAAAAGGCAAAGACTTTCAGAAACCATTACGTTTCGTAAATAAAAGAGAAAAATCAAAAATCGGTGGGCTTTTGCATTTGCCAAATAGCAAAATTTGTCCCCTCAAAAAATAAACAAATAATAAATATGGCTAAACTAGCCATAAGAATTTCATGCATTAATAAATTGAAAGTTAGAAATGGGTTATAGAAAAGTAGACGATAAAAACTCTAAATATAATTATTAGTCGTGATAAAAAAAATACAAGAACTCTGAAATCTAAAATTTGAGGTAGGGGTTTCTTTGAGTATTAACCTTTCAGATACTAAGTGGGTTATTAGAATAATTAATATAGTTTAAGAAATGATTTTTAGAATGGGAGGGGGATGTTTGATTATAAAAGGGTCTAATCACTCTTAGCTCCTTAATGACTCAACCCACAGCCCAATCCTGGTTGGTGACCACATAAGTTCTGCCCCTGACCAAACCAGATACAAGTTGACCAATGGCCACGCGCCAACTACATAACAGCTTTCCTAGAGTCCAGTAGTTTCACGTTAACCTCAATCTTTCTTAAACGTGTCAGCCGGTCGCCCCCCAGCTCCTTTAATCTTTCGGATCCCGCCACGTGGATGGCCGTCTTTCGTCCAGTGGCTACCTGCTAGTTGTTTCCTTCACAGACCGTCCGTGGAAAACTCTGTTTCTCACTTCGATAAGAAACAGCGCGTATTAGCCTGAATTTATCACCGTACAGTTCGTCGGATTACACCGCAGCCAATGGCTTTTACCTCTTAGTTTTTCTCTATTACGCTACATTCTAATCATGTAATGGACTTAAAATCTTAAATTGCAATGTAAGTAGGATTATAAAGTGCTTAGGGGCATGTTCTTTTTCTAAAAAAATAAAGATTAATAAACTGATTTACCTTATTACCAGGGCACCCTGACGTGGTACTTTATGACACACTTTCCCAAGAATATCACGATGGCCACATGATATGCAGAGAAAAAAAGGGTAAAGTAAACGCTGGGTTATTGCCCATCGTCAATCATCACATGCGTGGCTTCCCACCCCTTGCGTGTGTATCCACCCAGCCGAGTTTGATATTGAGGACGGTTTTAGTAGAAGAGTACTGTTAAATAATTGATAATTAGTATAAACACTTACTGTGATAATCATATTTAATATAAATGTCACGTATCCATTATCCGAACAGTGTTATCTACCTCAAAACCACCCTCCACATATGCATGCCAACATCAACCAAAGAGGAAAACGCCCCACAGCTGGAACGCTGCTTTCATATGTGGTAATCATCTGTTTGCCATCTGGCTCTGCTGACTCAACCTGTATGCTTATACGTATAAATTATAAGAGAGAGACGGTGAAGTTTATAGACGGAGAAACAGAGAAGAGCGAGTTTCAAAATTATTGAAAAGAGAGGGAGAGAGAGATAGAACAGGGAGCAGAACAGATCGATTCCCCTCTCCCTCCGAGGCGACCCCTTAGTGATTTCTATATCAGTATTTAAGGAGACTGTCCACCGCCATCATTTCGGGTCCATCTGTTATAGAGAGAGAAAGACGGCGATTTCCATGGAAGATGAGAGGGAGATCTTTCTGGGGAGCAATAAAGCAATGCAACCGTTTCACGAAGGAGTGGAATTGAAGAGATTCAAGTCATTTCTCACATGGGTTTGTTTCGATCAAACGAATCTGTGGAGAGCTGGGCTATCTGGATCGATTTTTTCCTCTTGGTGATCGGCGTGCCGCTGGTGTCGCACTTCGTCTTCTCCTGCTCCAGTTGCGATGCGGAGCACCAGCGGCCGTACGACGCCATCATCCAGCTCTCTCTTTCCTCTGTCTCTGCGCTGTCGTTTTACAGCCTTTCTTCTTTCACCCACAAGTACGGACTCAGGAGATTTCTCTTCTTCGATAAATTGACGGATGCCAGTGAGAAGGTCAGGCAAGGGTATACGATGCAGGTTCAGGTAAGTCTCTCTCTCTCTATGTATATGCTTATTGGTTTTATTTTCAAATATTTTTTGATTTTGCTGTAAAATTATTTGTAATTAATTTAGCCCAGATGAATAATTTGGATTTTATTGAACTTAGACTTGAGGATTTGATTCTTGCTAGTTATGTAGGTTAGAACAGAGGAAAAATTTCTGACAGCAAATGTCTTAATTGTTGGTCATAACAACTACAAAACAGAGGAGTAGGGTAATAATTAAGCTGGTATTTTGTTATAAGTTAGAAGGACTGAAAAAGTTGTAAGTCAAGAATTTGTTTAGGAGTTATAAGCCGTCTTATTTTTTTGGGTGCCAAACAACCACTTAATTATAATAACAAAGAGAATACATGTGTCTCTACTAATGGATTTTTGGCATTTTGTTTAGTACTTACATTGTATAATATGCATAGAGCAATGTGTTAGTGTTTTTTTGGTAGAGGTTTTTTAGATTTGTGTTAGATATTTAAGTTAAAAAAGTAAAAGTTAGTTTTTATGACTTTTTAGGCTTGGAATTTGGAAGTTTGGAACTTCTTTATTCCATTCCACAATCACCTTATCACCCTTTTACAAAGCAAAGACAAGAACATAATCAGATCCTAACAGACTTAGGATTTTGTGACATTTTCAGTTTAAGCCAAACTTTAATTGTTGGCTTTTTAATGCCAAACAATCCCTTAGCATAGCATAGAAAGTACAAGTTCTGTGTATTTAATAATGGTTTTCTTAGTAAAATCAGATTAACAATTGTGGAACTATAAAGATGAAGATTAGCATTGCTACACGATACATAACTTAAAATCGGTTTTGTCGTTTGATGTTGGCGATTAAGTGAATGAAAAATTGATAAGTCATTTTCTGGGATTTTAGAATCAGAGGTACGATAATGGTTTGAGCACATAAATTAACAAGAGGTCTTCGTTTTTCAGCCACACGATTAAAATAGTATCAAATGACGGAACCCAGTTTTTATTTTATTTTATTTTATTTTTGGAGTGTGTGGAACCTAGTTGATTGAAATTAGAATTATTAAATTGGTCCACCAAATGCTTCTAGAAGGCTCCCCTTGATTAGTGAGCGACAGAACAGAAGTGCCTTTCAGGCTTTTAATTAAGAGATTAAGGAAATAATAATGCATAATTTCTTCCTCTTAAGGCAAAGGTATCGGCCAGAGAAGATGTGGAGGCAAATTCTTTAGCTTTTTCGGGACGGAAGCAAGATCCAAGGAGGAGACAGACCCACCACAAGAAAAAAAAGGGGGGACAGGTCTTGCATGATTGAGGAGGGGGGAGAGAGAATCCTGGGTAAGACCAATAATGCTTCTCCAAGTCCTAGGATCCTCCATAACTTGAGGACAATCATCGCTGCTTTTCTGTTTCTGAAAACAATTTTGTTGTTTCCGAATGAAGTATAGCAAACTTTCATTTATTTTTTTTCTCTTTTAAAAGATCTGTCAACGCTGAATTGAGAAGAAATTAACTACAAAATTTTTTTAAGAAAAAACGCAAATTCTTAATCTAGCAACCAAGAAGACCCAAAATTTACAATTTGGGACTTAACCGAACCTTGAGAGAAAAAGGCTTATAAATTAAATGAAATCAAACGACCTAAAAACACCGCCGGGTGGTGGCAGGGGGGTGGGCCGGGGTGGCGAGGGAAAATAAGAGAGAGAAAAAGTGGCAAAAGAATAGGTGGGAAATGCATATCAAGGAAAATTTACATTTTTGCCTTCAATTTTATCTGAATTTTATTTTGGTCCTCAAAATTTAAGTTCTAACCCATTTACACCTTTTTCCCTACAATTTATTTAAATTCTAGTTCGATCCTCGTAAGGATCCCATATTTAATTCAGCTGCATTCTATATTTTGATCCTCATAACTTTTCATTTTGACACAGAGGTCAATGAAGCTACTCTCAGCCTTTGTGTTTCCCTGCTTTGCTGCAAACGCAACGTACAAGGTCTGGTGGTTCATATCCGGCGGCACCTCTACACCTTACTTTGCCAATGTCTATGCTAGTGATGTGATTGCCTGCACCCTCCAACTTTGCTCATGGCTCTACCGCACTTCGATATTTTTCTTGGTGTGTGTCCTCTTTCGTCTGATTTGCTACCTCCAAATCTTACGGTTGGAGGACTTTGCTAAAGTCTTTGAGAAGGAGTCTGATGTGGGTTCCATCCTTGCCGAACACCTTAGCATCAGGCGGAACCTCCGCATTATCAGCCATAGATTTCGAGTGTTTGTTCTGTTAGCTCTGGTGTTTGTCACCATTAGCCAGCTCTCTTCCCTTGTTGTCACCACCAAGTCTAATTCCATTGTTAATCTCTCCACTGCTGGCGAGCTCGCGGTAATAATCTCTATCATTCTATAATAATATTATCATTAGGGAAATTATACTAGACTCCAAATATAAAAGTTAAAAATTGAACACTTAATATCCCCTTCTCTCCTCCCTCAAAATTATTTAAGGAAGAGAAATCCTAATTTTAGTCCTAAGTCAAAAATAAACTTTCCCCTCCACCCCTTATGAGAATAATTGTGCTACAAGGTTGATACAAAAATTAGATGATGTGAAATGTCAGTTTTTTAAATGTGATTTGATGGAAGGGATCTAAATGATTAGTTTTTTTCTTTTCAAGGGGGAACATCAAAAAAGTATGATATTTGAGAGGATTTTCTGTAATTTATCCTTATTAATATTGTTATTATTAGTTTGGTGCAAAAATAGCTCGAATTTTTTGGAGAACAAATTGGAATTGTGTCTAACAATTAATCAGGATAAAATGTTTCACGTATATTAAATACTGGAAGAATAAATTTAATTAAATTAAAATCATGAAACCAAAATATATATTAAGTGAAATTAGGGGACCGAACGTGTAATTTATGCAAAACGGGAAAGAAAAAAATTTGATGATGTCATAATAACGTGATGAAACTGTCGCGCAGCTTTGCTCCGTGACGCTGGTGACGGGACTGTTTATTTGCCTTCGGAGCGCCACGAAGATAACCCACAAGGCACAGGCAGTCACGTGCCTGGCGGCGAAGTGGCACGCGTGCGCCACCATGGATTCCTTCGGCGACTTCGACGGCGAAAGTCCGCGGCACACCTCCGGTGACTCCCGCATATTTTCCGTCGGCAGTGGCCAATCGGATACCGACCACGAAGAAGGTGACGGCGACGATGAGCTCGACAACACCAAAATGTTCCCCGTCTATGCCAACACCATCTCCTACCAGAAGCGCCAAGCCCTCGGTGAGTGTGGCCTCCTCAATACCATCTTCTACCAGAAGTGTGCATCTTTTGATTCGTTTTCACATTTCCGTTTTCGAAACATATTTTTTAAAACAAAAAATACTGAAAATGGGGTTGGTATTTTTTTTTTCTATTTTCAATATTCGTTTTCTGTGTTTCCAAAAACTAAAACGTTGTAACTGATATTCTAAATGGGTTTCTCGCAGTGACGTACTTCGAGAACAACAAGTCGGGGATAACGTTGTTCGGATTTATGCTGGACAGAACGTCGCTCCATACCATTTTCGCGATTGAGTTATCCCTTGCCCTATGGTTGCTTAACAAGACCATTGGTACTCTGTAGAGAGACCAATGTAGAGAAAAGAATATCTTATAAATATATAAATGGTAAATACGTATATATCTTGCATTGTATAGCTTTTGTGCTCGACCAAAATATATAGCCATTAGTCAATTAATATGCCTTTTGCTTGTCTGTTAGCAGTTTTCATTAATTGTCTTTTGATAAAGAGAAAACACAAGATATTAAAAAAAAAAAATCTATTGGTTACATACTATTTTCATGCAAAAATAATTTCTAGAAACAACTTAACTGAAATTTTCCAAAAGCGCATATTTTCTGAAAATTCACTCCAACAATGGTTTCTATAAATAACTTGTCAAATGGGTTTCTGTTTTTTGTTTTGAAAACACGGCAATTCTAAAAACAAATTTTGGAAAACAATTCCAAATACAGAGTATCATCTTCATCTTCAGCCGGTGAGAACAATAACTGATACAAAATATATGAAATCATCCATATACATAAGGGAAAGAGAGGATCAAAACATTTTAAATAATAAATTCAGCTAAAACCCAAATTCGGGACGCAACCACAAACACGAAATTCCTAACTGCTATAAAAAGGAAAGACTTTTCTTCTCCTGTTGAACTCCTGAGAACCCTAAAACATGTAAATCCACAACTAAGACTATTTATTAACTATCTTATATGAATACTCTGTATCTTGCACTGAAATAGTATATACAATTTTCCTTACAAAACTTATCCACGCCTTGTGGCCAATATGTTAAGTTCCTGTCTCATGAACTACTTATTTGATGGAAGGTATGGGTGATTAATTTTCGTTTAATTTTGCCCATGTTAACTTAATGTTTATACTTAATCAAACTAAATTAGGGTCATATTTCCAAGATCTCATGATTTTAGACATTTCCTTATTTTAGTCATTTGTTAAACATGCATCTATCATACATAAAACATAAGCATCCCTCACATAGTAAGGAAAACAGTTGCAGATATCTAATATTAGTAGTCTAGTCTTCATGAGCATCCCATGTGTTACAGTATTTCATTCTCTGGTCTGTCAAATCCAACTTATCCTCGTCTTACATACATTAGAAATTAGAAATCTCGGTGACAACTCAAGGTGATGTAATTAGTAAGTTCAGGACCAAAATTTTAGTTGTCCAAATTCAAGAGCCCATTATGCTGCTTTATTAATATGTGCTTACTTTAGGCGCTTGAAGTGCCTTAATCATGATTTCCATTAGATTCAGATCAGTCACTGTTGTACTTGAGGAGTTAACTAACTGTGGTTATGAATTAAAGACCAAAGTTAGGCAATAATTCGAAAGCCTTGATTGCAATAGAAGGCCATGTCCTGTGAACAGAAAAACACCATTTTACAGCATTGATGCAGTGCCAACAATTTGTATGAATCTATCTATACTTTGTGAGACATACAAAAAGGACTTTCAGATGGGTTATTCCTCACTATGAAGGATGATCTAACTGCATTTTCCGCACGGGTTTATTTCCATTAGTCATTGCAATCCTCAGTATCCAATGCAATATTAAATGAAGAAATTTCAATTCCTTCTCATGTTGCATATAATTTGAGAGAGACTTGGCTTTATGCGAACATGCACTAAGTTCTCATCGACCATTCTGTTCTTTTGTAATTTCGTCTTCATCTTCACCAGTCTGTACCAAAAATTAGACTGTAATGAATAGCTGATTAGAGATCCTACCAGTACACTATCTGCATAAAATACAGGTCTGAAAAATCTCGTGTGTCATTGAAAAGAACTTCAAATGTGTGTTAAGTTATAATGATTGATCTGTGAAATATTGGCTTGAAGAGAATCTCAATAATTGAAGTATCCTTCCATAGGGGTCAGGCATGTACAGGTATAGATGAGCTCATCGACACACATCCTTTGAAACGTTCAAGTATGGCATTGCTTTGCCTGACCAACCCTGGATGGGATGTAAGGGGGAGTCCCTCCTTGACACACTCATCATACTTCTCCAGAGTTGATACAATGTAGCTGAAATCTGGTCGCTTTGAGGGGTTTGCTGCCCAGCATCGTTTTATTAGGTGCGCAAGTGCAGGCTGGCAACTGGGCGGTAGTGGTGGCCGTTCATTCTGCGAACATATTAAATAAGAGGTTACCAAGCCTCCAAGGCCTGGTTATAACAGAATGCCAAGAAATATTTCAAGCATATAAGTTCAGAATGGGTAATATGCAATGGGAAGGGCCAATTGAGTGAGATAATAGGAATACATCAGATTTAAATATAAGAGTCTCCTTGCGTAGGTGTTATGTTGCAGTTTGAGACTCTACTACTTCATTGTACAGTTGTTTATTAAATTAACATTTGATATTTGATAAGTGTGGTTAAACCATATACATAACTTATAGTAGGCATTTCAGCTCTAATTTTGTTTATACCTTTATTGTTTTGGAAGAATGTGATCCCCCTTTCTTATTTTGTGGGACACAGCTTTAGGAGCATCTTTTAGCATGATTTCACAAATCAGGCATGCTAAATTGTATGTGAGAAGGAACCTTTATCAAAATTGACAGTCAACATATTGCTCTAAAAAACAAAAATGAAAAAGAAGGAATAGAGAACCAGGAGAAGTGATCTGCAAAAAAGAACCCAATGCTTAGCCCAAGTGGTGGAACACTGAGGTTCATAGAGTAAAAAAAATTTAACTCCTCATTGCCTCTCCCTCCCCAGGCTTTAGTCCTCCTACATACCAAAAAGAAAAAAGGAAGGGGTTGACAAAAATAAATTAATTGAGCTCCTTTGCGTTATCAGCAGTGAGGTTAGGGGAAAGGATTTTGAGGGCTTGTAGCTTCTAAGAATTAGGATAATGAATTCAAAGATTAAAGCCACCATGGTACCAATGCCTCGTATGAATAAGCATAGAATTACATGCAGGCGGAGTTTTTGAAATTATGATGATTTGCCGATCAAGTATTATAATATTGCTTACAACTGTCAGTAATTTGATAATGTCATATAATATTCCTAGATAGCATCACAGCTAAATTCCATACTCTTGTGAAGCGGAAGAATTCGGAACTACTGAATTCAGTTTTCAGATCACAGTTTTGCTATTGAACTTGAGCAATCTATTTCTCTATTTGGGTTTCCCTCTTGAGCTTTTTATAGAAAGCTATTATTAAGCACAGAAAAGCCAATGCGTTAGAGCCCATAAGCTACTTGCCTTGCCTGCTTGGCTTAAAGCAGCACTCTCTTAAACTTGCTCTATCAAGTCAAAACTACGCATTAAAAAATGGGAAAATGGAAGCGCATCCCAAACAGCACATAGATACGAGGAAATCAGAAGAATTCCTTGTCCACCAAAAGAATCACTGACCTTCTCGGAGACGGCGAAAGCAGCCTGCACCGGCGTCATCCCCTGGAATGGAAGCAGCGCCGTGGTGAGCTCCCACAGCACAATCCCGAAGCTGTACACATCGACCTTTCTCGTGTAGGACTTCTCCTTGATCATCTCCGGCGCCATCCACCGGTATGTCCCTTTGTTCCCCTTCGATTCTTGGCACTGCGTCTCGAGGCACGACGTGCCAAAATCGGCGACCTTAACTCGCATCTCGTCGTTTAATAGCAAGTTGTTCGACTTGAGATCTCTGTGAATCACGCCCTGCGAATGCAAGTACTCCATTCCGCGAGATATATCTAGAGCTAGACGAAGGATTGTTTCAATTGACAGCGAATAGGGTTCTTTCTTGTTCAGGTACATACGGAGATTTCCTTGGGACATGTATTCGGTGATGATGCAGTACCCTGGTGGCTTCTTGCAGGCTGCAATGAACTGTTTGAACGTGAACCAAAAAAAAAAAAGGATAAATGAAGAGAAGTTTAATTAAATTAGTGGATTTATAATTTTTCAAAACATCACAAAAACAGAAGCAGTTTGCCCAAATTTTAAAATTCAACATCCACAAAAAATAACTAAAAAAATGAACTTGAAGAATCCATTGGTAAGATTAAGCTAATAATTGATCACATCAGAAATATATTTTCATTTAGAACGCCCAATAATTACTTGTTAATTGAAAATTGAACAGAAGTTCTTACCCACATGGGGTTTCAAGTTCAAAGCAAATCGGAAGATTAGCATGCTTCTCCGCTTGGGTGATGCAAGTCTTACCTACCTGCACTATATTGGGGTGATAGAGCCTTGAGAGGAAGGCAACTTCAGACTTGAACTGCTGCTCAAGCAACGCTCTGGTCTCCTCCTTGTTCGTCGGAATCCTCACCATCTTCACCGCCACCGCCCTCTGCTTATAAATTCCTCTGTAAATCCTGCTGTGTGCCCCCGACGCAAACTTGTTGCCAATAAACAGCTGCGACAGATCCGCTGTCCACTCTTCTTGGTCTTCCTTGGAAGCTTCCCAACTCTCCAAGTTGTCCGAATCCAAAATCATTGACCATGACTCCAAGCTGTCGAATCTCTTCCTCTCCATATTGTCTAAATCGGGATTCGGCCGGGTTTTGGAGGAGGATGGAGCGGTTACTGGCGTCTCCTTGTCCTTGGCCTTCTTCATGAGCCGGAACGGGTTGAGGTATGAGCCCGCCATTGAGTTTGGGTTTGTTTTTGGTAACAGAAAACCTGTTTGGTGAATTATTTTGATAAACTGTTTTTCAGAGAGGAATATAAGCCAATTTTTATTGTAAAAGGGTAGGGGAGCAATGGAGTTTTCAAAATTTTTTAGTATTTTTATCTCAGAAACGAATTGAGAGTAGAGAACTGAACACAAATCCAAACAAATTTGCTTTTGAAAACAGTTATATATACATATATATGTGTGTGTGTGTATTTGCTTTTGGAAACAGAAACCTTCTTGCAGGTTGTCTTCAAAAACCGTTTCTCAGAGAATTGTCAGAAAATAGGCTCATTCTTTTATTGTTTTCATTATTCTCAGAAACTGTGGAGTTTTCAAAATTTCAATGTTTTCTGCTCTCTGTTTTCTGAAAGCATAAAAAACAAAAGAAAACAAGAAACAGAAAATAGAATATGAATCCAATTGGACTTACTAAGGCTTTTCTGGGCAGAACAGGAGGTGTCAAAAACAGAGAGTCGCTAAAGGGAGCTTTCCTTCGGAAGGTGTGGATTGATTTCATGAAGTGCATGAACTGATTCCGCAGCATGGATTGTGAATGGAAGTATGGAAGGGAGATGGGTTTTCATGTATTGACCAAACCAGTAAAGAAAACAAACACAATCCATCAATTAAAACGTTTTCTTGGTCTTCTGCTTGTCAAAACAATTTCCAAACCAAACTACTCGTCAACACCCCCCCCCCCCCAAAAAAAAAAAAAAGGAAATAGAGTGATCTTTGCACGATAATCGATCAAGGCTTGACAAAAAATAGGACACCAAAGAAAAGCAGAGCAGAAGCTTTGAGGATTGAGAAAGAGAAGAGAACCAAGTTAGATTCACGGCTTCTATAAAATCATGAAGATGGTCTTTTTGCAGGAGGAAAGATGAAACAGAACAGGGGTTCTCAGGGATGTCCCGTGATGAATTGGCTCAAAAGTAGTAGACTTGCATGAAAGAGAGAGAGCTTTTCTCAATCAAATCCAGAGAGAGGGAGGGAAAAAGAGAGCTTTTGGTGGTCAAATCGAACTCTTATCCCCTGTTTCATTTTGCATCATTGAATGCTAATTTAGTGGCAACAGTGTCAAAAGCTTGGTCCGATTAAGCTCTTGCAGACAGTTATTCGGGTATATGGATATGCCATATTGCCATCCACTTACAATCTAACAGTAACACTGCCTCAAAATTCTCCATGGACACATAAGCACCTTTCGTTTGTATTTTTGGCTAATGGTGAAATATATGTTCTTTTGTGTGGTGTTTGTTTTGAATATTTTTATAATTATATTTTTTTAAATTTTATTAAATTTATTAAAAATAAATTTGTAGTAAAAAAATGAGAAAATCGTATTAAGTCTTTGCCATACATATTATATTTGTATTTTTCTCAATAAATATATATTATATTAAGTTATGTAATTCTATCATTTATAAAAACTGTCACGCTAATTTTTGCCTAAAGTATGATCTAAAATATTTACAAGACAAGAAGTGATGAACAGTGCTCATTGGTGATTTGAAAGTTATAGGATCGATCATGGAAATAATTTTTTCTAAAGTAGGAATAAGGTGTCTTAAAAATAAGGTTCTATACACAACAACTTTCCCTTTATTTTTCACAGAGTAAGAATACTTGTTTGCAAAATAAAAAGCTTTATGGCCAAGATGCCCTTGTCCATTTATTTTCACTTTTGAAATTTGTTTTGTATTTTTTTAAGTACCAAAGTTTGTTTAACAAGATATTTTCAGAAAAAATTTAAAAAATAATTTTTATGTAAAATAAAACAAAATAGTCATAGAGTTTTTTGAAAACTTTTTCTAGTGCAAAGACGCGAGAATAGTAAATAGTTATTTGAAATTACGAATATATCTGCTTCCAAAAACAAACGTCGTCACATTTGACACCCCAATTCATCTCTCTTGGTATTGAGACCTTCTCTAACATGACATGAAGGAGGGTAGTTGTTAATTAAATGTAGTCTCAATGTCTTGGGGTTTGAATCTTTCGTAATATCAAGTCTTGACCAATTGAATTACTAATTTTTACGTTTATTAAATCAGTAATCAAACCAATACTACAATCATTAATCTACCAAACTGGTCTCTAACGTTAAATATAGGTTCTGTCACTTTCTCCCTCTTAAATAGTAGATTTAGCGGTTGAAACTGATCTTTTTAATCATTGATGTTTAATCTAACATAATCGTCAAATTGGATGAATTAACGGGTGCTTGGTTTATGTACTTCAGATAAAAAATGTGAATAAAATGAAAAGATTAGTTACCAAGTTTATGTATTTTGGGTAAAAATATGAATAAAGAGAGAAGATTAGTTACCAATTTTTAATCTAGAAGAATATGAAGTTGATAAGAAAAGGAAAAGAATATGTACTAAAAATACGCCATTCTCTTGAAAAGAAGAATTTGAACGAAGGGAGGTGGAGAGTTTGACAGAGTGGTTGGATATTCATGAAGCATTTGATTCTAGGATCAAAGAATTAAGCCCCGCCTCTATGCCAAGCCTAGTGGCCCTTTCTGAATTACAGAAGTTATGACAATGGTTTTCCAATTTCCACTACCCTATTATACTTTATCCGGTCCAGGTAGGAGAATAGAGACCAAATCCATTCAGGTTTCAGAACTCTTATGGGAAAATGTGGGTTGGATTTTGTTGATTATAAATTTCGCATTACTTGAATTAGTGGTAGAGTCAAGACTCTAATAGTAGTGGGTGCAATTCTTACAATAGGTGTAAAATTTAAAAATTATTAATAATTTTTTAATATATATATTTATTAGTAAAATATTCAAGTGGGACATATACTCTTCCTCAACTTAACATGGCTCTGTCACTACCATGAATTCATTTTATGGTAAATTATGATAGATTCATGATTCAAGTTAAAACTGGTAAATATTTTAAATTTATTATTATAGTACAATTGATATAATATATATAATAATATAAAAGTCTAGTATTATTTTAGTTAAATTTTTAATTATTATTAAGAAAAAAACTTATTAATTTTTATTATTAAAAACAAATTAATAATATATTGTGACATCCATAGTGAGTGAGAATATTACAAATCTTACCCACCGTTGGAATCGATCCAGCACACATGGCGGGTCGGACAACTTGGGCAGTCCTCCCCATTTGGGCCATTGTTTCTTTTGGAATTAGGCTTCCTGCCTATCATGCCAGTGTCCTAGAAAGATCCTAGAGTCCGAAACTTGAAAATTGATTTTTAGATTTTTCTTACAGTATTCAGATGAAATAAATCACAGAGAAAATAAATAATTTAAAACTCTTATTCATTTTTTTCCCCTCACCAGATGGATTTCTGGCTAACCAAACACCCCTGCATGGCCTGAAGAACTGCCCCTCGACGATATAATATGGGTTTGTGATCCAATCCATTTTTTGAGAAATCTATAATTTGACAACGAGGTTAAACATATAAATACTTGAATTTGACGAAACCTTCAGATGAAATCTTGTCATCTTTAAAATATGAGAAAATTTAATTATAAAAAATTATGTTGTAATTATTCTTGCTATTTGTCCTATTTTTAAAACTTTTATTATATGTGAGTCCTTTTTCTGTAATTTTTTTCTCAGATACTTTAACATAGATTAAAGTAGGTTTAGTCAATATTAGTCTTATGTCGATGCACTTTTAGACCCTGTCCGTGTCATCTAATCCGGAATCTGGACCACCCACCCACTCACTCTGTCATGTGTCAATTCTTGTTAATGTTGGCCAAACGAAGTAGATAGCTCATTTACTACTTTCTAATATGGGCAACCTCACCGTCCTCTTTTAGGCAAGTCTTAAAACATGTCTCTTGTTGCAAGAACTACGGAGTTCCACTTGATATTAAGTGCTACTGTCCAGCAAAATTGTATCAGTAAATTAATAAAAAATAGTTATGTGTGTACTCTTTTAAGATTAATTTTTATTTTATATTTAATCAAATAAAGAAAAATTTTGTAAATATAATATTAAATATTAAATTATTTTATAAACAATTAAAATAAATTTATTTCATTTTTTGTATTTTTAAAAATAAAAAATACAAAAATTAATATCAAAAGAATTGTACACATGACTTTTTCTGGGCAGCACCTATCATCAAATGGACCTCACAGGGAGAGTTAGCTTACAAATTTTTTGAATAAATTATAAAAAAAATTTACAAATTAAAAATATTTTATTTAATTAAATTTTAAGGACAAATAATACTTCACCACCGGAAATTTAAAATTTAATATTATGTTTTTTATAAATAAATAAAATTGATCTTCTTCCTTACAAATATTAAATTCATAATATTTACCCATTGTCAACATGTTAATGAAATATTTTGTAAAAATGTTATTTTTAAAGGATATAAATATCTTTAAAATGTAAATGGTGATTGTACATGATTGGAACGGAAAAAGAATAACCAATATTTATATATAAAAAAAAAACATTTATACTCTGTATATGTAGAATTTTTTACAAATATTTTATTATAATGTTAAATTAGAGTGAAAGAGACAGTTGAAAAGAGAATTATTCACTTCTTTTTGTCATTCAAAACTGTGTGTGAGACTTTCATCTTATACAACTCCTAAGTGATAAAATAAAGAAGAACTCAACTTTTTTTCCCGAGACAAATGTTTTGAATTTAATATTTGTGAGATTAAAGATTTATTTTATATATTTATAAAAGTATAGTATTAAAATTTAAATTTTATGTGAAATAAAGTATTATTTATCTAAATTTTAAATTACTCTAAATATTTTAATTATGTTAAGAGGAAAAGAGCAAATAGGTAGCTCATAAAAGAAGATTAATGTTAGTCTTTCTTCTAAAATGACGTTACTTACACCAGAAAAAGAGGGCTTAGCCAGCAAGATTAAGACAAATTACGGATATTTAGACCTAACACCATTATTTTAAATAATTTAATTATTTTATATATGTATATTAATATAATATGGGAATGATTTGCATGAAGCCGAATCATCTTACTACACCCATTTAGCTTAAGAAAGCAAAAAGCATCCCACTTTCCTCGTACAAAAGATTTGAGGTGCCTTAGCGCCACTGGAATTATTAATTCACATGTAACTTTGGTTGGAATTCAGCAGCTTTCTGTTTTATAATGTTTTCTCTAGATTTTTCTCGCCTGCCAAACAACCCTAGAGAAAGTTTGCTATTTGAAGACAGAAGAAACGTCTTTTGCCCCCTGAAAGCAGCGTACTGCTTGAGCTTATAACTAAATCAGTTTAAATAATTACGTGACGCGAAAATTAATCCACTTTGTAAGTAGGGGTGTGTAAAACTAAATTAATTAATCAAGTTAAACCAAATCAAATCAAATTTTAAATTTTGGTTTGATTTTTTTTTAATTTAGTTTAGTTTGGTTTGATTTAGAAAAATAATTCAAAATTACCAAACCAAACCATTTTAAACCAAAAACTAAAATTTTAAAAATTCTTTATAAAATATATTAATATATACACACACCTACATGTATTTATAGAAATATATATTTATATATAAACATATATACATATATATACTTATATGTGTATGTCCACACATACACAGATATACACACATACATACATACATACATATATAGATTTTATCTACTCATACAAATATAAATATATAGATACATATAGATATATATATAAAGACATGCATATATATACATGTCCATATATAGATATATATATACTCATATGTGTATGTACACACACAAACATACATATATACATACATATACATATAAATTTTTTATACTCAAACAAACATAAATATATGTACATATACATATATTTATATTGTATATAAATATATAAATACATATATATGTATAAATATATATATATACATGTACATACAAATAAGAATATATGTGTGACTGTGTACACACAAATGTGTATATATACACACATAAGTACGTAAATATATATATTTATATATTTATACATATATGTATATACCTATACATATGTATGTGTGTGTGCATGTGCGCATGTGTATTTGTTATGTGTGTGTGTGTGTGTACGTCTGTGTATATGTGTGCGTGTACATGCACATATATGTATTTATACATACATACATATACATATATATATGTTGTGTGTGTGTGTGTGTATATGTATGTCTATGTGTACACACACACACGTATATATACATACATAAATACATAAATATATGTATTTACATATTTGTGCACGTACGGTTTGGTTCAATCACGATCCAGTTCGGTTCACAGTTCGTATACGGTTATGGTTCACAGTTAATTCACGATTTCAGTTCATAGTTCCAGTTCCAGTTAAAAAAAAACCTAAACCGTAACTGGACCACGAACCTTCACGATTTAAAACTGGATCGGACTTGATATTGCTAGTCCAGTTCAGTCCGATTTTTTCCTAATTCAGTCCGGGCCGGTTCACAGTCCGAACCGGAATCATGAAAAGATCTACGTGTACACATATATATATATTTATATTTACATGAATATATATATACACACACACAGAATATATACATATATATGTTATGTATGCGTGTAGATATATATGTATGTATATACAAATATATATACATGTACATACACATACATATACATGTATATACATGTATATTTAATAATAAAAATCAAATAAATAATTTATTTAAATATTTTTAATTAATAAAAAATTAAACTTAAAACCAAACCGAATCGAATCAAAATTTTAAGTTTTATTTTAAAAGTATTAAAACCCAAAAATCAAAAATTTAAATCAAACCAAAATATCAAAAATCAAACGAAAAATGATGGTTTACAGACCCCCCTTGTTTGCAAATAACGTACACCAGGCCTAAGTAAATAAGTTCCAAATTTACCTTCTCATTGTAAAAGCTACTTATATATCATCAGATGAGAGAGAGAGAGACAGAAAGAGACAGCGAGGGAGAGGGAGAGGAGGAGGAGGAGGCTAAATATAGGGCCTGTTTGCTTATATGAAAAATGGGTATTTTTAAAAATTTTGTACAAGTTTATAATTTTACTCGAAAGTATAAATGTCAAAAATTAAAACTGGTCTCTACTTCTATTTGTATTCTATGTTTTGGTTTTTATTCTTAGCTCTGAGATTTTGTGTTTTCAAAACAAAATAAACAGTGTCTAAAAACAACTTCCAAAGTGGATTTTGCATTTTTTAAAAAAAAGAAATTTGTTCTCAAAGCGAATCCGATCAGGTTATATTTTCTGACATAGAGAAAAAAAAAAGGTAGGCCAAAAAACCAAAAATGGCTACAAACTGATAGAAAGAGAGAAAATAAAAGAGAAAACTTTGTAAGTCACAAATAAATGCAAGGAAAAAACTTTTAATTTGGGGTGGAGGGGCATTTGTTTTCTAAAAAAATCTATTTTGTTTGACAATTTTTGAAAAGTTTTAAAAATTTATTTTTTGATTTCTTATAAAATTATTACTCGGCCTCTTTTAACAAAAATAAAAAAAAATTATTTCCTCTTTAAATTCTCCTTATAAGTTTAGGTTATCCCTTCTTCCCTTCATGTTACTTGTCCATCTTCCCTTCACATTTCTGTTACACTCATCCTTTTCCTTCCTCCCGAACAAAAGCTGGAAAAGTGCTTTTCTGACTTCCAACTTCAAAGCACTTTTCTGTTTCGCTCACAATAAAAGCACTTTTGAGAGACAGAAACAAGTGAATGGTAGGAATAAATGGTAAGATATTCGAAATATAGCTGTGAACTTCCCATTTTGAAATCACAAAATTATCCTCAGAGATGAATTAGATTTTTGAACTTTTTACAAATAAAAACAAATCCTTTACTTACAAGACAAATTGAGAAACGGATAAAAATAAATTGATGTCAAAGTTAGCTTACACGAAGAGTCAAACACTAGTACTTATTTAGGTTATGTTTGAATAGGACATTAGTGAAAGTGAAGAGCAATAAATGGACTCGTGACTTATCTTATGTCAAATATAGATATTTGAAAAAATTAATTTATCATATACCAAATAAATCCTCTTACCGTTACTATTAGCGTGTTGTTTTCCAAGAGGTATTGCTCAGAGAGTGGCAAACACGCGCTTTACCTCGCGTTTTACTTTCAATCCCGCAGCAGCCTTTCAACTGGCCCGCCAGAGGCGGGTGTCAAAAGGGGCTCTTTCGTCAACTCAAGCCTCCACGTGAAGACACCGGGCCCCCCGGGACGCAACGGTTTCGTGACCGACCAACCAGACTACTTAAATTCCATATTTGTCCCTCCCGAAACATCCTCCTACTGGTTTAGGGGGGACTTATTGGGTGCAGAAGGCTCCTACAGTAATTTGGTCTTAGCTTTTCCTCCGTCCGATTTCCTCACCAAGCAGTTGAACTCTTCACTTGCGGATGGTAAATATAAAGGTATTTTTAGGTTTTAATTGGTATTTCAACTATTTTGTTTTACCATGATTTAGTAGAACTTTTTTTTAGACAATGCCCATGTTGAATTGCTTCCTTGTTCTTACTTGTTATAATTCAAATGATTTTAGTTGCTATGGCAATAATATGACAAAAAATTATTTAAATAATTAAATTTATCTTATATTTTAATATTAATTAATTGATAATAAATTTAAATAATTTTTAAAATATATATAATTAAAATATGAACATAATAAACAAGCACAATTTGTTGATATAATTTTCGAATTGACTCTATTTTCTTTTTAAAATGTATCTTTCACCACATGCTTGATATAAATCAACTTTTAATGGGACCTCCTTAAAAATGATTAATTTGTAATCAATTAAAGTTTTTGGACTCCAATGTTGAACCTAAAAGAGACTAAACGAAATTGATGTATGTGTTTGGGATTTAATACTATCAAGTTCTTGCAAACTCTATTTAATTAGAGGAGTCAACATGGGTCCCATGTAAAATATTGTATGAATTTTTGAATTATGAGGGGTCTTTTTCCTTTGATCAACGAGGATGACATTTTAAAACGGTGCAATTCTAAACACAATATCGTGGAAAAAGAGGGAAATGGCATTTGGCTAAATTACATGATGTCACCTGCAAGTTTGAGAATAATCAATTTGATCCCCACCTTCCAGATTTCTACAATCAATTATCTTGATTTGTTAATTTGTTATAATGTCATTCATATCATTACCAATTAGCACTAAGGTGGCATCTTTCTGTTATGTTTTATTCAATTTTGAATGCGAAGAGGATGCGGATGACATTGCAACAAATTAGCAAATTAAGATACGTGATTCAAAAAATTATTAATTTGTGGGATGAAATTGAGACTTTGCAAAACTAGGAGGACCATTTTTAGTAATTTAGCCGTTACGTTTTGTTCATCAGTGAAGGTTAAGAGGGTAAATTAGCACGCCCGCATGACTCGTCTTTGCGCGGTGGCGCCGATCGTCAGACAACCAACCCTGCACTGCCACAGATAGACAGGGATGCCCACGTCATTATCACGAAAATGAGCCCCATGTTCGTCCTTTCACAGCCATCATTCACCACTACCACCGCCTACACACTCCCCCACTCTCCATGTCTGTCTCTGTGCAAGTATATTTTATATCCTTGCAAGCGTTTGTCTTCCCTTTGGTTATCAGTCTCTCTTGATTTCAGTATTTCACCTTTTCTACTACGATGGGGTCTCGAATCCCTTCGCACCAGCTCAGCAATGGGCTATACGTCTCGGGCCGGCCAGAGCAGCTCAAGGAGCGCCCTCCAACAATGGCGTCACGGGCGGTGCCCTACACTGGCGGAGACATTAAAAAGTCCGGCGAGCTCGGAAAAATGTTTGACATCGCCGTCGTCGATAACGCCCCGCCGCCGAAGCCCCCTCGCCCTTCATCGTCGTCCCAGCAGAACAGCGGATCTGTCAGATCCGGCCCGAACTCTGGCCCGCAAGGAGCCAAATCGTCCAACTCCGGCCCGATCTCCCGGAAATCGTCTGGTCCGTTGATGCCCACTGGGCTCATCACCTCTGGTCCGCTGGGTTCGTCAGCCGGGCGGCGGTCGGGGCAGCTGGAGCCGAGCGGTTCGATCGGAAAGGCTGTGTACGGCTCGGCCGTAACGAACTTGAACGAGGAGGTGAAGCTAGGGCTCAAGGTGTCGAAGCCTGTAATGTGGGTGTTCTTGGTCGTGGCTGTGATGGGACTGGTTGTTGGGGTATTTTTGATGGTGGCGGTGAAGAAGGCCGTGATTTTGGTGGCGCTAGGGGGAATTCTGGCGCCGGTGGTGCTGGTGGTTATTTGGAACTGTGCATGGAAGAGGAGAGGGTTGTTGGGGTTCTTGAGGAGGCATGCAGATGCTGAGCTCAGAGGTGCTGTTGATGGACAGTATGTGAAGGTCACCGGGGTAGTTTCTCAAATTATCATCCTTGCATTGAAAATAATTTGCTCGCACAATTACTTACGAATTTCTTGGTCCTTGGATACTATTTCCTAATATGTATTTAGTTTTACCTAATTTGAACATATAATAATGCGCTGCTTACCTCGCCTTTGCCGTATTTGTTCTCAATCCAATATGGAAAGGTTTATTAGTTGTTGATAGTCTCGTTTTTGGATGTTGCTATTTTGTTAATCGTATTTATTATCTTACTTTCTGACTACCATCTTGTTTTGACCTGAAGGCAAAAGCTAAGTAGCAAATACTGAGCAGTTTATTGTGTTTATGACAGCCATTCATGAACTTTCAAGAACTTCTAATTATGTTCTCATTTTTGATGTGAGTGGCTGTAATATGGTGGTTCAGACTATCTGTATTACAGTCTAAAATGTGTTATCTATGTTCTTCTTCCATTCTGCAAGCAAAGGCTATCATGTGCAAAATTCTAGGTGCCGCGTGCGCTGATAGGTCACAATGCATCTACATTTTTTCTCCCATTGGGGGTTAAAGAATAGAGTTCTTTGAAATTCTTCCTATCTTGTCCAGGGTTTATTGCATTCTTTGAGGGGGGTTGATTATGTTATGCCTTCATATCCAATTCAAATGCTTAATGGTTAATTACTGTCTAAATAGCTTTTGGAAAGTATCAAATTATATCTAATAAAATTTTCAATATCCTATTAATATTGATTCCCATCAAAAAACAAAGGGGCAAAAAGAATTACAAAGCCGGCACCAATAGCCGTCTTAGACATTTGTTTACCCATTAAATATCTAGATTATCAAAGTCTCTTTTTTATGATTTTCTTTGACATTCATGAGATAATGCTTGCGGGAGATATTCTCCATATGTTCTATATTAATTAAGCAATATGTATAGATGAAAAATCGTACATTGCTTACCCCCAACCTTGGAACATTAAATCATTTTTACAAACCTGCACTGTTGAAAGACTTTTCTTAGATGGGGAGAGAGAGTTTCTCAAAAAATGGTTTTATTTAAATTTGCAGGTTTGGATGTGTTGACAGGTTGAAATTTTTGGACATACATTGGCAAAGATCTTGATTTTGAAGTCCCTGGGGCAGTGAGCTCCTTGCTTTGTGAGAGTTGAGAGAAGGTCAGGGTCAGCGAATCTACATAGTTTAAACTTGCTTTGCAAGAAAAGTTATTGTCATGATCTGAATCCTTGACCTTGCAGTCAGAAAAGGAGCAACCTTCAAATTCCTGCCCTTGGTTGTTGAATCTCAAGTATGTTCAAATGATGATGTAAATAATCAGGCTGGGGCTACCCTTCCCAGTCGTTATCCCATTCCAAATTAGGTTTATACCTCGTTGGCTCCTTCCCTGAAATTGAGAGGCTTAGAGTTTAAAAACTTGGGCCTGTCTTTAAGGCTTTGAGCAGAAGCTCTTAAACCTCAGCCATGCACAGTCGAATGTACAGCAATATCTAAAGCTCAGCAACGTACAGTTGCTGTATGAGAAGAGGTGCAGCAGCCTGGTGTTGCCAACTTCTCTTCTTGAAGAATTTTTAGAAAAAAGCTGTGGTGTGAAAGAAGAAGAAGAGAATTGAGCAGTTAATGTGGCTGTAGACTGTTGCCAACTCAACTTGTAACTACAAACCCAAAGCCCTAATTAGAACTCCAAGCCCTAATGGCAGTCAGTCATTCAGTCATCATGTTTTGTTCCATCCGTACAACTTGGTTTGGTCAAAATTAGTCATATGGTGTCATTTCTCTCGAACCATAGGAATGTCGGCAATCTTGTCATGGTCCTATAAAAGAGGTTTGCTGTGTCCCTAGAAAAGAGGAAGATTTGGTTTCTTTTGACTGAAAGACAAATTTTACTACCTTGATTCCAGACAAAGTAGAGAAAGTTCAATGGCTTCTCTTGAACCATAGGAATTTCAGCATTCAATGTATGATTTGTGTCATGTCCCTCCAAAAGTGAAAAGACAGACAAAAAATTGAGTTCTTTGAAGGTCAATGGTTGGTCTGATTGGCATCAATTTGTTTCTGTCAGTTAATGGTAGACGGCTAGTTTAAGAAACTATAATTGGAAGAAATTACATCTGTTTATATGTTGAGTGGTGTAGATGAGTTTATGTTGTATGATTTTCAGATATATACTGGATATATTTTTTCTCTCAGTAGTACAGATCCAGTGTCATTATTTTGCAAAATTGAGTTGCTAGATGTTTGAGTTATGAAATCTAGATATATATGTGATGTGATTACATTTTTATACAAGATTAGTCTAGCAAATTGATGAACTCGTGACCAGTTAATACTGTTTTCCTCTTGTGGGAACTATAACTCAACTTTCTTATAATGGAATTCATTTGCAATTACCTGTAAAATGGAAAATAACTTAAGCTGACAATTACCTCTGTTGGAATAGATTTTTACATTTTTTCTATTTTGGCACGTTGGAGAAAGGGAAAAGAAAAAGGAATGCCATATGGTTGGATTTTTTAAAATGTCTTCCATGAGCAAAATTGTAATTTACCAGTATACAGTTCTGCTAACACCTAAGTAGGCTGCTCTAACTTTTATCATACTACTACAGATATAATGCCATGTTTATTGTGAAATCTGCATAGAAGCAATGAATTACCTTGAATTTGATAATATCAAATTTATTAAATGTTTACAAATAAAAAAGAGATTAAACAGGGAAAATAAGAAAGGAATAATGGGATACCTCACTTGTTTACTCTTATGTTGTTTTTAACTTTATTTCTTGGTAATGGCTTTTCTGCTGTGTTTCTAAATAACAGTTATAGCATACATCTTTCTCAATCAGGTCGTCACCTGCGGTAGCATTCCTCTTGAATCATCTTTCCAGAGGGTACCAAGATGTGTCTATGTTTCAACAGAGCTGTATGAGTATCGAGGATGTGGTGGAAAATCTGCAAATCCAAAGCACCGTTTCTTTTCGTGGGATGTAGGCATCAAGAGGTTGAACTCTACTTTTAATTGTTTATGTGGATTCATTTTTATTGATGGGAAAGCTAGGCCAGGTTAAATTATCAATAACACCATGGGTGAAGGCACTGACAAATTAGTGTCATTACCAAGCATAGTTGGGAATATGCTGACATCCATCTGAAATCTACCAATTTACCTTAATTCCAACATTATGGTTGCCTTAAATTTGCTTAATTTGATCGCTTCAGTATCAATATTTTTGGGAGCATATAAAAATTTCCCATGTTGTATCCCTAGTTGTTGCTAGGTTTCATAGTCCTTCCAAGAAGTTTCAAATATGATTTAGAAAGCACCTATAAGTTTCCAATGGTACAACCGTATGATATTTTTGCCTAACCTGTTTTGGATGCTGACTTTCAATGGACATTCATTTATGTGAGGATATTATTTTGTGTGCATCAGACTCATGGGGCACATTTTTATATTGCCCAGACATTCCCTTTAACACACCCAAGCTTGTGGCATAAGCTAGCTGTTACTTTCTCCAACTTCTTTATATGTACTTTTGGCTCACCTTAAATATATAGGGATCCTATTCCACTTGTTTAGCAACATGTTGAAAATGAATTATGTATTTGGTGTCTTTATTTCCGTGCTGTGGATATAACCTTAAACTTGTCTATTTATATTTTACCTTTGTGCCTGTATATATATATATATGTTGATGCCTTTCTGTTTCTGGATTCTCTGAAAATAAGTCTATTGTCATTATTTTTAATCATGTTGTCTCTGTTTTTGCACTTCCATTGTGTTGGGATGTAATGTTCGAGGCAAATGCCAGATAATTGAACGCTAACATGTGGATTGAGGAGTAAACCTCTCTAAGGTGTAAGAAAAAAAAGAATTTTTCTGGACAGTAAAGTTTGGTCCGTGTGGTTTGTTTGTCTTGGGAAGTAGATGCTCCAGTCCACAATGAATAGCATCCTTTGGTCCACTGATCTGCTGTGCTGCCACCTCAGCCTTTGTTAGGCTAGCAAAAGCTGAGGTGGTGGCACAGCAGGTCACTGGACCAGAGGAATGGCACTCAGTGTGGACCACAGGATCTGCTTTCTTTCTCCAGTCACCGTGCTGTTGAGGTCTAATGCCTGAGTGATGTAAATACCTAACCTTTTATTATTAAGCCTGTTACACTAACAATGTTGCTTTGCTATGAGACATGAATGTAATATATAGTCTCTTAAACTGTCTAAACTTCTAAAACTGTTGCCTTGTTTCATATTGGGATAAATAGAAAGATGGATTGAATAAGATCTCTAGATGGTGGTTAGTTGCATGTATATTCTTTGGGGAATTGGTTAAGCCTGTGAGACATGAAAATGAGATGTCGAGTTTGTCACTACTTAAAACATATTTTGTCTCTTGTCTTACCCCTCTTGTGGCCCTTAATTAGCAGGAAGGATGCAACCCTGAATAGTGTCCTTTTGCCTGGTGGGTTTGTCAAGTATTATCAAAATTAGCAGTGTAATCATGCATCTCTTTGATTTTGTCTGTTTTCCAACCAGTTGTGGATAAAATAGCACTTTATTATGTGATTATTGCAATCTAATTGTTGCCTTTTCTGGTCAGAAATATGTGGCCGATTTTTACGTGTCAGACTTCCAGTCTGGATTGAGAGCTCTAGTGAAAGCAGGCTATGGAGCTAAGGTTGCTGCATTTGTCAAACCAACTACAGTAATTGATATAACAAGGAAAAACAAAGAGTTATCTCCAAGTTTCCTGCACTGGCTTGCTGACCGCAGCCTGTCAAGTGATGACCGCATAATGCGTCTGAAAGAAGGGTAACGCCCTTATATCCTGTTTTTCACGTCCTATGAATGATATCTGGAGGTTTTCTTCTTGTTTTAGAAGCTAAAGTTTTGAGTATTTGACCTGTTGCTGATTCTGCTTGATTTCAACTCTGTCACTCCTTGAATATCAGGTATATTAAAGAAGGAAGCACAGTGAGTGTCATGGGGGTTGTGAGACGCCATGATAATGTTCTTATGATTGTCCCTCCATCAGAGCCAGTTTCAACAGGCTGCCAGTGGCTCCGCTGGCTCCTCCCAACGTACATCGAAGGGCTAATTTTGATTTGTGATGAAAGTCAAATGGTGGATGTGATTCCTGTGTAAATATTTTGCATTTCCTGTAAAACTTTCTTCTGCAACTGTCCATATGAGTAGAAATATTGAAGGTAGCGTTTAACAAACTAGTTAGATCAGCAATGCCAACCAGGCAAACTCTGTTTATACCTTTTGCAAAATTGTATGTAACTGGCCCTGAAAATGCAGAGCTAGAAGACTGAAGATAGCTAATAAGTTGCCTTAGTTGTGGATTTTCATGTTTTTATGGTTCTAATGGAGATCAAATAGGAGATGAGAGGTCTTTCCTTTTCATGGCAGTTCGGGATTTGGTGTTTGTAGTTGCGTACCGAATTTGGGTTTTAGCTGAATTTATTATGTAAATATGTTTTGATCCTCTCTGTCCTTTATGTATATGAATGACTTCATAAATTTTTTCTCAGTTATGATTTGTCCCCATCGGCTGAAGAATGAAGATGACGCCTTCCATTATTTTGGATTTTTTGAATTGTTGTATTTTTAAAAAACGGAAACCCATTTGACAAGTTATCTTTAGAAATTATTGCTGGAGTGAATTTTCGGAAAATATGGAAAATTTTAGATAAGTTGTTTTTAGAAATTATTTTTGCAGGAAAGTGGTATGTAATAATTAGAGTTTCTGTTAGATTTGTTTTCCCTTTTTAGAACGCAATTAGTGACACAAAAGAAAAAGGTATATTAATTTTATAAGAGCTATATACTTTCGTCAAGCACAATGGGTATACAAAGCAAGATAATATCCCAAACAGGAACATTAATTTTACGCCTTATTCGAAATAAATTGATAGAAACTATTTCTCACGTGACAGAGAGAACCTCGATACACATTTGAGCAATGTCACCTCATACACTCTGACTCTGCCTCATGCCAAAAGTATTAGGGCCGTCTACCCCCCAAAATGCACCTTCCCAATTTCATTGGAATTAGAGGGGTTAAATTCATTAAAATTTTTAGTCTTTCAACTGTTTAAAAATTAATAAAATCAAATTCTAAATAATAATTATTTTATTTTTGAAAAAAATAATTTTTTTCATGGTAAACCAAATATTAAGGGGAAAAAAAAAACCAAAAGTACTAAACTTTTTAGTCTTTCAACTGTTTAAAAATTAATAAAATCAAATTCTAAATAATAATTATTTTATTTTTGAAAAAAATTATTTTTTTCATGGTAAACCAAATATTAAGGGAAAAAAAAAACCAAAAGTACTAAACCCCCAATAGACCTGATCTTCATATGTAAGCAAAATAGTACGAGGTTCTCAATATAAATATTATCGTGTCGAAGTTCTAAATGTAATTCTTTACAGGAGGACACACGCGAACGCGAACGCGAACGGTTCGGATTTGTTAATCCTAAACTGGCTACTGGACGACACGTGGACGGCGATGTGCCAGCAAAAGCTTCGATTTTTTTGAATTGTCGAACGGGGTGGCACCGAGACTTGAGCCTGCTTGTCCATTTGTGCCCCTCCACTCTCCTTAATTTAGTAGTACTGGCCAAACACCCACTGGGCAGAAAGATTCGTATCCCTAATTTACCCCTAATTACCTTATTATATTACAAGTAAAATATTCATATCAGAAAAGGATAAAATATAGGGTCCAAAAAATAAATCAGAAATAGGAAATATCTTGTGCTTTCTGTTTTTGTCACGTTACTCTTGCACCCTCACTAGGCAAATATGGGATTTTTCTAAAGAATTTTAGAAAGGTTCTTTCTAATTGCCCCCCATGGTTGAATTATGATATAATGCTATTAAAATTTTAAATAATTCTTAATGTCTTCTCTTTTTGCAATTCTTTAAAAATTAAATTTAATAAGTAATTAAGAAGAAGAAGAAGAAGAAGAATTTTTATATATTTTTTTCTCTTCAAAGCACCCAAGTAAGGTATTTTGCTTTGATATTAATATAATTTTTTTTTACTAAAATGTGATAAATTTAAATTATTTATTGAAATATGATCAAAAATTTATATATTAAGAGTTAATCATGATTAAATTGACTTCTCAACTTGAATTCTTTTTTTTTTTTTTACAAGGGAGAGTGGGTTCCCCCAACTGACTCCCCTAAACCAATCTCAATTTTATTTTTTTTCTTTTAACTTTTCTTAATTTTATGATTTATACATTTAATTATAAATAAAAAATATAAAATATTTTATGTTTTATATGTTTTTATTTTATATTTTTATTTATAAATATTAAAATTTACAAAAAAAAACTAAAGATGGTTCAAAGTAAAAAAAAAAACTTGGTATTGGAAAGTCAGTTCTAGAAAAATCAAAATTTTCAATATATCAAATTTTAATAATATTTTGATAAATAAAAAAAATTATATTTTGACAAATAATTTCAAAACTTACATTTTTATAAATAAAAAATATTAATATAAAAAAGCCTAATATTGTTTTAAGTTTTTATAAGTTTAGAAGAGAGGGCTGTGATTTGGAGAAACAATGTCAAAAAAGAATTTCACTAATTAAATAAATCAAAATTAAAAGTACAAAACATTTGCAGACGTAGTTTTACCAGCGCATAGTTGGCTGACAAGGTAATTTGGTAAGATGACGTGGGGGCAACATGGTCCAAGCAAGCGTACAAGTGAAACATGGAAAGAATAAATGCCCTTGGAGAACACCGAAAGCAGCTTTGGACGTTGTTCTTTAATCTTTTCCTTTCAATGTCTTTTAGTGGCCTCCGACGCTTCAATCGAAGCCACCTTTCGCCGCCCTACTCACTGATGCCACTAAGGCCACCGACTCCATCGCCGCCACCGTTCATCCAGATAAAGACATTTCGTACCTTCTCCCATTGCCCCTCTCTTCGGTACAAATTCCCACCGCACCGTCCCAGTATCCGCGTAGACCCCAGGGGTAGTTTCGCTAAACTGTAAACCGCCTTCGGTTTGATACAGTTTCTGTCTTCAAATTTAGAGCAGTATCATGAGCTAGGTCGAAAACCACGTCTACCTCTTGGAGAAATTAATATAGAATTAATTACATTGTCTTAGGAATCCACTACGAAAAAATTTTGAAATTTGAAATGAATAATCGAAAAAGAATTATCAGAATATCATATTTATTTGGATATTAATTCATTATTTTTTAACATAGAAATGGAGAAAAAATCTTATTCAACTATTTATTGCTTTCGTATCCATTTTTTAAAATTTTTCTTTCAAGAAAAAATAATATCGGAATCCGAAAATAGTTTTTTTGAAAATGAATCTGTCCGAACAGTTCCTTTTTAAAAAAAAAAAAAGAAAAGGAAAAAGTACAAAAACTTCTCTCCATAACAACCCGTCAAAACAGATTTTCTGTTTTCTGTTTCCAAAAGAGAAAACTGTTTTCAGAACCAAATCCAAACAAACCCTTGTTTCCATGTGCAGACATGTTTTTTAGCTAGAACCTAAGAGAGAAGGCCGATTAGCACAGTAGCCATGGCATATCGCTGAAACCAACAATAAAGATTGAGTTCTTTGAAGAAGAAGCAACTGATGATCATTCAAAACTTAATTTACCCATTTTTACACCGTAAAAAGGGAAATAATTTACAGACCCAAAAAACATGGAAAAGAGTTAAAATAAACGGAGAGAAGAGAAGAGAAGCTAAGCCCGACCTTCAGATTTTCTCCTCCATAGTTGACATATTTTCCTTCAAGTTCTCTGAGTCCAAACACTCCAAAACCTCTCCCCAACAAAACTCATAAACCTCCTCACGGTCCCCTTCTCAACCCCTTCACTTCCCTCCTCACCCCCAGCACTACTGCTCTGTTCCATCGAGTCTGACTCGCTGATTAACTCGGAGTCTGCATCCTTGATTAACTCGTCCTTATTCAAACTCTTTTCTGAAATTTTTAGTTCCCTCGACCCCTTTGCCCCTCTCTTCTTTTTTCTCTCCTTCTTGCTCTTTTCCTTCTTGTTCTGAGCCAAATCATCTTCGAATTGATCGATAATTTCGTGGATCAACTGGCGATTCGGCGACGAGTCCCACTTGATCCAGAAGCTCATGTAGCACCTGAAGCAGTCGCAGGAGAAGGACGGCGAGTGGTCGCAGGATTTCTCGGTGGTGGTAGTCTTCCGGTCACCGGATAAATTACCAGAGGAGCAGGAAATGAGGTAGGCGAGAACTTCCCTGTCCTCCGGCGAGAGTGCTGCCGACAGAGTTAAGAGAGTCGCCGGCAAAAGGGCCAGGGAGTCCGAAATAGGCGGCGCAGGCGAAGGGTGGACTGTGCCTTTCCGATAGAGCTTCTTCATGGCTGATAACGATAAGGGAGCGGTTTTGGAAACAATGAGAGAACAGTGAAACCTATGCCTTGCAGGGCTGCTGAGATTATATGCGCAGAGAGCGAGCGAGAGAGGAGGAGCACAGGAGTGGGTGGGTTTTTCCCCCCTCTTTTCTGAAAACTATACTTACATCCCCTCAGTTTGGCTCAATTACACTGACACCTCTCATTTGTTGAAAATTACACAATATGCCCATCACGGTCAATCGACTTATACTGAAGTAATTGATTATTTCAAAGGAGGATAGACACGGATAAGGAAAGGAGAGAGGGAGTGCTTTAATTAGTGATTAATTTAATTAGGGTGGTTGTTAAGGACACTTTGGTCATTAAAGCAAAATAGGAAGGACATTTTAGGCAAAAGTGAATTTGACTCTGTGGTAGTAACTTACCACGTGCATAAAAATATCTAAGAAATTATTAATTTAAGATGTTAATAATTAAAATCTAATTTATAAATGAAAGTAGTGTTTATGTTTTTCAAAAAAATAAAATGAATATTTATTCTGATATAAATAATAATTTAACTATTTTTTCAATGATTCTAAATTAGTTAACTGATTTAAAAGGGTTAAAATTAACAAACCCTTCAAAATGTACCTTTTTAAATTGATAGATATCTAGAAATTTGATTAGCAAATTCTTGAAATAATATTTTGTATCAGATAGAATACAATAGAAAGTAATATCATAAATTAACAGAAATTAATTTAAACTATTAAAATTACCCAAAATTGATTTTTAGAATGCAAATTGACCACAAAATAAATTTACAGAGCAAGTTAGGCGAAGGGGCGTTGTTATCAGTTGCTGACAAATGTACGAGAAATCAGTGTAAATTCAACAAAAATTAAGGACATTTTCAGTACTTAAGACAAATCTGGAGCTTTCTTTTTGAAAAAATTACCAAATTAATTGGCCTGTTAAAATTTACTACGTGGAAGGTTGCCGTTAAAAATATTGACACAAAATGTTTAGAACAAAAGAAAGTAAATTCATTTCTTAAAATACCCTTCTAACTCTATTCTCCTCCTCTCTAATATAAATAATAGATATAATTTTACATAAATATATTTATAATTTATATTTAAAAATAAAAAAAAAATATTTTTTAAAAATAAAATTTCTTTCGAGATAAATATTTTTTTATTTCAAATCTTTCGAGGGATTATATCAAAAATACTCTTCAGGGTAGCAAATCCCCTTTGCTTTCTTCTTTCTGGGATTTTGTGGGCATTCTGAGGGGGACCGTTCCCATGCGAAGCGGTACTTTTAAACACAAAATCAGGGGACGTTGAGTGATTTCTGATTGGTAGAGGGGACCAGCGGTAGATTTGTAGTTATGGCGGTGGGGTATGGTGATTGTGACCGGACCCACCCAGGATTTCTCATCAGTTATTACCCTCTCACTGGGCCATTACCAGAGGGCCCACTTGAATTGACTTGTATGTGGACCTCAGTTTCCAATCCGAATTGAAGGCCACGCGTCTTGTTCTTAGCAAATTAGATTATGGATTTTGATATTGTTAAGAAAGGATCAGAATTTCTCAAATTGGACAGTTTAAGCGTTGAAAAATCATAATAATTTATGACAGTTGATACCAATTTTTTTCCTAAATATTATTTTGATTTTCATGAAAAGTGATAAAAATTTTTAACCTTCAATAATTTTTTTGTACTACTAAATATTACCTTCAAAAAAAGTAAATTAAAATAAAAATAATTAAGTAGAAAATACTTTATGTACCAGACTTTCTCGTATTAATATGAAAAAACCAAATACTTTTTTTTAGTTTCCCAGTACAGCTGCTAACTCCAAATATATGCACGACTACAATGTCAACTAAATCTCGCCACCATTTGATATCTGAGGATCAGTCAGAAAGTGGGTACTTAGAAAAATACTGACATAGAATATTAATTTTACGAGGGCCAGTTTGGTCACCTGGGCTTCTGGGCTTATGCATTCGGCCTTGAAACCCAAGAAAGACTAGAATCCAGATATTGCAGCTGGGCAATCTAATGCACCCTCTCGTACCAGTTACGGTCATGAGCTCTGGCCCTCGCATTTTTCAAAGCGAGATTTTATCCCTCTAATGGAAAGAAAATGTAAATAAGGTTGAATGTTAAAGCTTTAAGTTGGTTTCAGGAGTGGACGTTCCAGTTGGATTGTGAGTACTAAAGTACTTTCTTCCAGTCAGGTTGGCAACATGCCGTAGACCTTCATTCCATCTGTGGAATTGGATAAACTGATATGCTTGCTCATTGCAGACCAACTTGCCAGTGAGCAAAGGGAAACACAAGAAGAATAGTATACAGTCAAATAACATTAATATAATTTATATATTTATTAAAAAATTTTAATTTTATATATTTATATATGTATTATATAATTTGATTCAGTTTATACAGTTTATTTAAATATTAATTATTAAAATCAACCATGTAAAAAAAAACCTATTTTCAAACTAAACTAAACCATTATTTTATCGGTTTAAATGGTTCAATTTGGTTTGTTCAACATCTCTAATAAATTATATGCAATCTAAATTTAATTCTCATATTAGAATAAGTAAAAATTAAAACAAGTATATTTAAATTTTTATCATAACAACACAAATATTTTCTTTCATTTTCTTCTCTAACTCACCAATTAACATAAAAATGAAAATTTTCTATTAGATTATTATCCATTCACCACAAACAAAGCCTACTTGGCCATAGAGCTCCATTGGGCTAACTCCGATCCTAAACCTTCCCCTAGAATATAACATCCAACAATCTCTTTTTTTTTAACTTATGAGTTCGAAGCCTTATATATTTATGTGAGAATTGAGGTAACCAAAATAAAGTGAAAAATGAATGAAATAAAATAGAATGAGATAATTAAAATGACATGAACCCAATACATGTATGTCAAAACATGCCCTATCCATGTGTCACGCCCCAACCCGGGAGCGTGACCGGCGCTGGGGTTAGCTTGTCAACCCCAGTCAGCCTACGAATAAGTCAAAGCAGAAAGCATTGCAGCAGTAAAAGTATCAAAATGCAGGTGTATATATGTACGTTGAAAGTATCTGAGGAATACAATGAGCTACTAAAGTACAAATAATAGAAATGATACACAAAAATGCCCGTACATCACTGTAAAGCAGCGGAGGACAAAATCGATCCAGAAGCTACCGCTGCTATCGAAACAGCAATCTGAAAGGGAGAGGAACGGAATGAGTACAAAACTCAGTGAATAACAATAAAAATCTATGCAAGACGGGACATGGATCACAGTTTACAAAATCCACACATGTTCGTGTAACACATTCAGGCACATATATATGCATGTCATTCGCACACTAGAATCAGAAATAGAATGTCAAACACCTGTCGGAGTATCGGATCTCGTCAAAAGTCATATCATACCGGGATCCCGTATCAGAATCAGAGCCAGAAATCACAGATGGCACAGAGTGCCGGAACACCCTCGTGTTCCTCAGAAATCGGATCACAACAACTCTCGACAGGTAACCCTTTAAATCACATGCATGACTGAGGCACACAAATGTATGAATACAGAAATGTTCCAAAATTCATCAAAATTTAAAACATATAGATACATGTCCCGAATCCAAATATCAGAAATCGGAAATTAAATCCAGGAATCAGAACCCAAGAATTTTTCAAAAAATCGAAATATAGATGCCTGTATAGAAAATATTGTCACTCACCTGGCACGCTAGATGAGGTACTGAAACTCGTGTCAACGGCTCACTGCTCGAGACGCGTTTCCTCCGGAGTATCTACAATTATCAAATCAAAAGTCAGAATCAAAATCGGGTCTCATTCTAAAAAGACTCAACTCTCTAAATGGGCCGGGACCTCCCCCGTCACCGGCCCTAAACACGCATCCCGAGACCCCTAAACCTCATACCTGAACCATTCTAAACTTAAACTGCTAAACCGAAATTAAGCGCAGCCAAACTCTACCAAATTGGGCTGAACCGAGCCCATTTCCCGTAAACCGAGCCGAATCAAGCTCAAATCCCCAAAACCGGGGTGAACCGAGTTTTCCCTCTTTAAACCCATGACGAACCGGCCCAAAACCTCATGAAAAACCACTGAACCGAAGCCCTACACCCATGAACCAAACCCGAAATGACAAAACCAGCCGGTTCAACACGTTTTCCCAAAAAAATCTCCTCAAAGCTAGATGAACCGGGCTGGTTTATCACCAAAAACCAGCCCAGGCACACCCCTCAAGGTTCCCTGAACCGGGAACCAGTTTTTGTCCCCAAATCCAGGCCGGTTTGGGGCCTGAACCGGCCCAGTCAAAGCGGACTGGGCCGAACCAGCCCAGTCAACGCTTGGACAAACCCGGGAAGCCCCGGGTATGTCTTCTTCGCCCGGGACCCAAACTGCAGACCCGGGTGTCTGCAACGGGTCCCGGCACCTGACTCACCCGAAACCCCCTCAATCCCCTGATTCAGCTCACCTCAACCGAATTTAATCCTTCCTACAGAATTTCCGAAGTCCACAAGCTTCCTAAACACGATCAATCGGGCGGAAATCAACCCCAAAAGCAAGATTTTTCTAGTCGGCCCAACCGCACACCGCAATCCCCTTCTAGCTCAGTTTTCCCTCTCTTCTCAAAATTTCTTGATCCCTCGTCTATACCCAATTCCGATTGGTTTATATATAAAGTTACAAAATTGCTTTTGAGCTGTTTCAAGCTCATTGGAGCAGAAATCGTCCGGTTCGTTTGGCCAGTTTTCTGGGTTCTCTGTTCGTTCGTTTTTTTTTTTTTTTTTACCGGGTTACTACATTATCCCCCCCTTAAAGAAATTCGTCCCCGAATTTAATACTACTACGTACCTTGCCCATCGAACAGATGGGGGTATCTCTGGCGCATAATCTCCTCGGATTCCCAGGTGGTTTCTTCTGATATCTGACTTCTCCAAAATAATTTGACGGAGGGAATTTCCTTCGATCGAAGCTGTTTCACCTGACGATCTAATATGGCAACTGGCTCATTCTCGTAAGACAGATTTCAGTCTAGTTGAACATCCTGCGTAGCAATCACATGCGATGGATCGGGCAGATATCTCCTCAGCATAGAAACATGAAAAACAGGGTGTACCATCGATAACTCATTGCAGACCAACTTGCCAGTGAGCAAGGGAAACACAAAAAGAATAATTATACAGTTAAATAACATTAATATAATTTATATATTTATATAAAAAATTAATTATATATATAAATGAATATAATTTAATTCAGTTTATATAATTTATTTAAACTTAACTATTAAAATCAATCATGTAAAAAAATTATTATTTTCAAACTAAACTAAACCATTATTTTATCAGTTTAAATGGTTTAATTTTGTTTGTTCAATATCTCTAATAAATCATATGCAATCTAAATTCCATTCTTGTATTAGAATAAGTAAAAATTAAAACAAACATATTTAAATTTTTATCATAACAACACAAATATTTTCTTTCATTTCCTTCTCTAACTCACCAATTAACATAAAAATGAAAATTTTCTATTAGATTATTATCCATTCACCACAAACAAAGCCTACTTGGCCATAGAGCTCCATTGGGCTAACTCCGATCCTAAACCTTCCCCTAGGTATAACATCCAACAATCTCTTTTTTTTTAACTTATGAGTTGGAAGCCTTGTCTTCTATGTGAGAATTGAGGTAACCAAAATAAAGTGAAAAATGAATGAAATAAAATAGAATAAGATAATTAAAATGACATGAACCTAATACGTGTATGTCAAAACATGCCCATCCATGAAATCACAAAACATCGTATACAACACCAAAACTAACAAAGGCACTACAACAATGATACAAAAATTATAGTTGTATTTGAAAGTCACCCAAATGAACAATTACAAAACCAATTGATATATTATTTAACATAGTATCAAAAACCCAAAAATTTCATAACTTGAAAAGAGTTTCATCAACCCTAAAATTAAAATTTACATATCTCTAATCATATCCCAGAATCTAGCATACTTATTTAAGAGAATTTCACAAGAATTACATAAAAAAACATTTTAAAATTTGATCAAAAAAAGGAAAAAAAATTTATATTTTGGTAGAAAATCTTACCTATATAATGTTGGCGGTGATGATAGGAGTGATTTTTAAAAGTTTACAATTGAGTTTGAGAATGTTTAAAGCCCTGGCCCTAGATGTAAAACCCCTACTCCAAAATCGGACCTCTTTGTGAAAAATTTTTATTCTTGCCCCTCGAGTGGTTTTGAAGATTGGAGGTGATTTGCAAAAAAAAAAAATTTGAAATTAGTGTTTGAAGCTTTGTCTCAAGAGCTTTGGGGAAGAAGTATGAAATTATTGTTTTAATAACATGTTAAATTAGTATTAAATACTAATTTTTATACTAATTTAATATATATTATAATATTTGACCCAATTGATTAGGATTTAATATCAAATAAAATATTTCCCTTGTTGCACTTAACTCTTTCAATCTTTTTGATACTACAACTAAATTTCCCATAAGAATTTAGTTTTATTCATGTAGTTTACAATTTAATCTCTCTAATCCACACACATATGCATGAAAATCCATGACAATATTATATCAACCTCATAATTTTAATTAAATAAATAGCCGAACTGTGAAAATAAAAAAATAAATTTAAAATACAAATTTAACCCATTTTCCTGTTGTGAGTGTTACAACATAAGCAAGTAAGCTGTTTTTCTGTGGATTCTGTTAGACAAAAAGCTTTTCTTGAGCAGTAAAGATAAGAGCAGAAGTCTCGTGTTAATCTTTTTCACATATGTTTGTTTTTAGATTACATATTTGATTATTTTAAAAAATTAATACTTTTTGGTTTTGGAAATTAGATATTAAAAAACTAAAAAAATAGACATGTATATATATTTTTATTAATTAATTTTGCTTTCCTATTAATAATACATTTTCTATATTTTATTTCTAGAACTATAGTATTTCAGACAAAATAAAAAATCAGTTTTTAAAAATATAATCTTCTAAAATAAAAATACTAAACACCACAAAAGTCAAGAGCAAGACTCTAGCGACAATCGGTTCTTATGGTACAACACAACTCATGCTTTGCGATGACCAAGGAAAAACTGTCAAGTGTGTTTAGCAGCACCTTACAATAATAATAATAACAATAATAATAATAATAGTCTCAGAAAAATGTCACTTTCGACAGGGGTTCTTAGAGCAAGCGCTTTCAAAGAATTTCCATGGCCAGTTCGAAGCTTCAGGCATTTTGGAACCACCCGGCCGGCCCTAAAACTAGTGAGTTCTTAATTTTTGTTCTGTCAAAATGTTTCTTATTATTCCATTATTTATTGTTTATTTTTCTTCTCTCGTGTTCATGGGTTCTTCCATGCATTGAATATCTGATTGGCAATACTGTAGTTTTTTTCGAAATTTCCCTTTCCTCACCCAATCAAATTCTGCATTTTTCTCTTTGGTGTTCCCTGTTTTGGTAATTTGTTATATATTTGAGAATGTTGGGTTGGTTGTTAGCCATTAAATTCATGATTTGAAACGGAGGATCAAAAGGATTTGTTCTTTAATTTGGCGTCAAAAGGTGATAAAATCAGGAATCGATGAACTGACCAGTATTTACAACGAGAATGTTCAGATGGCATAAGGATCTTTTCTCATAAACTTTCGTTAGAGAATATCACAGGGAGGTTTTTTGGCTAGTCGCGATCCATTTTCCAAAAATTTTGCTATGATCCCTGATTCTAATGACAGTGTGCGATTTAAGCCTTCACCATAGAAGTTGTTATGAGGGGAAGACAGGGCCTAGAGGTACCCTAGGGGTTTTTGGGCTCTAAATTCATATGTATTTGGGATGTCTAGCAAAGCTCTGTCTAGCTTTTCTCAGCACTCTAAATTAAAGATTTTGGGATTTTTGATTCATGAACTTTTTTAAATTAAAAAAAAAAAACCAAAATCAAAATTTATGAGATTTTAAAATCTCTGGTACGAAATACCATTTTCTCAATCCCATTGATTCTGAGAAAGTATTAGGAATGACTTCAACTGGTTGATGTGAGTTATGTCCTATTATATCAACAGTTGGTGTCTGTTTTTCTTGTTTCCTATCTCATTTTTTCTTAAAATATAAAATTGATGTTTGCATATATTAACTAGCCGATCATTGCAGTTCACTTTTGGGCACCAACATTCAAATGGGGCATCAGCATTGCCAATATTGCTGACTTCACTAAGCCACCGGAGAATCTTTCTTATCCCCAGCAAATTGGTATGATATATTTGATGATTTTGGAAGGGCTTATTTTTGTTCTTATTGCTGCAATTTAGTAATTAAATTTTTCCATACGGTTTGCAGCGGTTACAGCCACTGGAGTTATCTGGTCTCGCTACAGTACTGTAATTACTCCAGTAAGTTTGATTGTTATCAAAATGTTGGAAGTAGTATAGTGTTTACAGGGGATGTGAATGGCTTTATTAGAGCAAAAATCTTCATAAAAAACCAATTTAATCTTGTGGCTTTTTGTAATCAACGGTAATTAGCCCATGATGGATGGTTGTGATTTTGTTGAGTTGTGATGAGTATTATTAGTTCACGACATGCATAGATAATTTTCTCCTAGTGGGACAGAAAGTTTCAATTTGAAAAGAAATTAAGAACATGCGGATCAGGGCTCATATGCTCTGACTTATAACTAGCCAAAGCTGGAGCTTTATCTTTTCTTTGCTTTGTACTAAAGTTGTGGTCCTTCCTTGTCTTGGGTAACTGTGGGAGGTCCCACTTTTAATTCTCTAATTCCTTTCTTTCTTGCTAACAAAGTCTAACTGTTTGTTTAGGAAGGAACTTTGACAACGAGAAACATTTATAGTTGCTCTCTCTCTCTCTGTGTCATTTTGATTTGGGACTTGAATTGGTATGTTTGTGGATGTAAAAAATCAGTGTCCTCTTCTGGGCTTTTCAGTATATCCTTTTTACAAAAGAAGAATTTACAAGTCTTTATATAAAGAAAATAAAGAAATAAAGACGCGATATATAGCTCTAATCTTTATGCTCCCAAATATTGCCCCTAGGAAGATTTTCAGGAGCAATTTTGAGCAACATTGTTTTAAGCTTGTAGTGTGCATATGTATTTAAAGTCTACAGATCTCAAGGGAATTCGGAAAAAGAAGTTTGTAGAGACATGGAGTCGTTGGCTGTAGCTGCTGCTTAAGTGGATCAATGCCCCCTGCGCCCCCCCCCCCCCCCCCCCTCCCCCCCATTCTGTCATTAATTGGCTCACTTGGGCCGAAGAAAGATTTGCTTTGTCTTTCCATATTTTACTTTTAAAAGGATTCATCCACTTGATCGGATTTCTCTGGTGAAGTCTATGTTGTTATTAACTCTTTTACTTCATTCTGGATTTCAGAAGAATTGGAACCTTTTTACAGTAAATCTTACAATGGCTGGAACAGGCATCTATCAACTTTCACGAAAAATTCAGTAAGTTGAGGTTTTGTATTTGCTTGATCTTGTTGGATTTCTTATGTGATTATAGTAAAACCCACGTCCTGATGTATGAAAAAAGGGAAAATCCATATTTTTATTTGATATCAATTTTGCAGGCTCAGGCATTGTTGAAGAAAAAATAAAACAAAACAGTAGTAAATTCATAGAATATAGGGAAAATGCCTCCCTTTCCCCCTCCGCGGGCTTAAACTCTATTGTCTTTAATGTTGGCGTGGCACTACCAAATAGTTCCCTAAACAACTGCTCGTGTGTAGGCAGACATATATGGGGATGATCTCTGCAAGTTTCACATATTGTAACACCTGATCAATGCTGTATATTACCAACTCATCGTTATCTGTATTCACAATTTCAGGCACGATTGTTTCTCTAAGGGAGAAGCTGTAGCTGCCAAGGAATGAAGTAAACTTTTAGGATTTAAAGGTGTTTGAACTTTGTTTTATTCATTTTGATTGGATCGTGGGGATGGAAGTTGTAATTTTGTACCCTTAATCTCATTGTGCTTGTAAAGGAATAAATTACACCAAGAAAGCAATCAATATTATGTTTTGACTCTTGCACTATTCAAGATTTGACTGCTGCACTATTCAAGATTTTACGGATTTTCTTATTGAAATTAAGCTGTCGTTCGAATGTCTCTGACTCTTAATCAGATCACCTCTCTTTTTATTTGTTCATGATTGTGACGAGGAAAAAGGGTCAACAATTTCAGCAACCAGTTCAACCGTTACAGTTGGTTAAGAAAACAGTGCCAAATTTAAGCCTCTGCACCGAATATTTTTTAACAACTCTTTGCCCTTCTTGTATAATTCCAAAGCATAACTTGAATTTAAAAACTGCAAAAATCAGAGCAAGCAGAAAGTCAAACTCTAATGCAAAGTTAAAATATAAACCAAGTAGCTCAAACAAATTTATCTGATCTAATCCAAGGAAAAACAAAGTCAATATCTGGAGTTGAATTAAATTTACTTAATTGAATGGTAAACAGTAACAATTGTATTTTTCCTTAACATAAGCCAGGCAAATGGCCATCACCTCGGTAGGGGAGCATTAAATAAGAGTGAGATTACATGCATAACCACTTCCATTTACTATCTAAAGTTAACACAAACTATAGGAAAGACCACTTATAGAGTACACAAAGACAGATAGGCCACTTATTTATTGTCTTCTTCAAGTAATACTTCTCTCAGAGCGATTCCATCTTGTTTGGCTTATGCTTGACTTCAGCCTCTCTCGCTATCCGTCTCTACTCTGATCTTTCTTTGCATCAGAATTACGATCCCCGTCACGAGGATTCAAGCCCAAACTTAAATCTAAAGTGCTTATGTTTAGGTCTTGCCTTGCTAGTTGAGTATCATCAGTAGCCTGACAAATTGCAATACATTATTACACATCACATAAACATGCAGCAAGATATAAGAAAAACGGTCCAGAGTATGATATTGGATTTCTATAGCATTTTCTGTTTCCTGTTAGTGTTCATTTTCTATATCTTTTGGAACAGAAGAGTACTATATATCTTGAGAATTATACTGCTTTCATATCATTTTCATTATTGGGAAAAAATAATTTCTGAGAATTCTGAGAAAAGCTTTTGTTTTACGAAAATTCTCCCGAAAACAGTTTTTTCAAACAACCTCCTAAAATGGAGTTTTAGTTTCCAAAAACAAAAGAAAAAATCAAAAGCACATCCAGACCAGTCATCACATAAATCTGATGACAGTATGCGTCAGCTTCAATCCTTCAAAGGGCTTTAAAGTCATCAGGAATTCTGATCCAGTCAACTAGTTATTGCAATCTAGCAAGCTTCTATTGTCTTTTCTTAGGAGGGAAGAAAGTAGTTTAATTAACTTAAATAAGTGTTTCCCTACTACTTTGGGTAGAATACATCTTGTTTTGCTAACTATTTAAACCACATATATCAAGCAATATCAAGTAAAACTTACACAATAATTTTTTTCAGATGTATCACCATAAGTTCAACTCCAATGGCAAATTAAATAGACCATCTATCTCTCTTTATAGGCAACAGGTTCTATCTCATCTTCGATCATGCAAGTTTGATACAGTAAGTTAAAACATCAATTTCCAAAAAGAACAGAAGAAATCCTGACAACTCAGGCCAAGAAGTGTGCAGAAGGAAGCATAACAGAAATATTTATACAGTTACCCGAGTTCCTTCAACGGGCATATCATTAATGTCAGGCTTATCATCCAAACCATCATTCTTTGAAATCAAGCCTACCGTGTTTGGATCAGTATCACTTGGCTTAGCTTCATGATCCGATTTTTCTGCAGCCTCATTTTCTACAACCTCGTCTCTTTGCTCTTCTAGCACAGCAATCTGGACTCAGATTTAGCCAGAAAATCATCAATCAGTAATACCAATAAGAGGAAGAGCTTACTTTGTTGGATTGCATGTCCTTAGACACAACCAAAAATGAAACATAAAGCTTAAGTGCAACTTGAAGCTACACAAACTTTGTTCTCCCCACCCCCTTCCACAATAATAATAAACTATAAGCTGTGAAAAGAAGTTCAAAAAACATACAATGTATGAATCATTTTAAATTTCTCATGTTTCAACAAGCAACGTCTATATAAGAAGTGGATTTCTCAAAGATGCATTTCATTGCAACAAGCTCAACTATGCGCATGTGCTTTTATGAGTTCTATCTAAATGCCCCGGATTCTTATCCAAGAGGCAACAAACCAAAACTTAAACACACACAATAGTCCATCTTTAGGCTTCCTGGTAAACTAAATGGCACCAAACCAACACAATTGGAGAGGTTCTGATAAAAATTAAGGATTGATGTTACTTCTTGGCTAAACATTACAAGTTCATAACAAACAAACTTGATTAGTTCCATAAAGTTAGCCATTCCCAAACCTTTTGATCACCCATCCATCTAAGGATTTGGCCTAATCAAAACCAATACGAAAGACAAACAAGAAAAATATTTTAATGGACCCAATGCAGTCAAGTACAACATCAATATCCACCTTCAGTAATTCTTCATAGTCTTTCTTGCAGCTCAGTTTTAAAGGGCTCAAGCTCAATATGTATTAATCAACAAAAATCCTTCATGTTTAAAGCTTGGAGGTATAACCAGCACAACTATGCCATAGTTTACTTTAATCATCATCAAGCATTTAGCAGGGCAGAGTGCAAATTACGTGAAACTAAACATCTCCTTGGCTTTACATGCAATAAAAGATTTTTCCAATTAAATCAATAGTCTGCCATTGTTTTCCTACCAAATTTGTCTAAACGCTTGTACTATTGGCTGCTGAAAAGAGTTAAATTCCATTAACATGGGAAAAATGGGTAAAGTAGTACTCATAGTATATCACTGTTGCAATGAAGTTTCTTTATTCGCCAATGCCGTATACAAAAAACCAAGCACCCTGTCATGTCTCTATTCAGACTGCTTAAGGCTCCAATACTATTATATCTTTCAAGGGGTGTTTGGTAACTGCGCTTTTAGGTCAAGGGTTTGGCTTTTACATCCAAGAAAGTCAGAAGAATTGAAATCAGAATTCTAATGCTGCAACACCTAGCTTAGGTTTTTCCTTTTAGGTTTTTGGTGTGCTTAAGACCTGACCACAAAGCTTAAATGCCCAAGGAAGCAACAGGGAACAGGCAAATCCCCCTCTATCTTAACAAAAAGATCCTTAAACTGCAATTAGAGTTCTAATTTCAGAAATTGAGCAAAAAAATTCAAGCATATTCAACCTAGAGCTCAAAACCGCTCAAAACAAGAAACCCAAACTTCCTTTTGTAAAACAAGAAAAACCCAAATCACAGCTAAATCAACCACAATACTTCCGGAATGTTCAATTTCGCACATAAGACCAAAACCCTCAAAAACCCTTTCAAAAAGCAAATTACTTGGTCACACATAGGAAGGCAATTATGCATGCACCACTTGTAACATATAAGTACCGGGACAAATTTGAATTTCCGGCGAGGTGGCTCCTCCGGGGGACCGCCGGCGGCGGCATCGTCATCTCCGGTAGAACTCCTGTCGCTAGAGCCGCCCATCGGGGTCCATTTGTAGAGCAGGATCTCAGAGCCATTGCTACCGTTAGCAATACCGCCGTTATTTCTGTAAGTAGTTTGAGAGTGGTGGTGATTCGAGGAGGAAGTGTTGGGCGATGCTTGGACCCATTTCTTCTTCCACTTCCTAACTGGCCCGTTGAACACCGTCGACGATGGACCGTACCGGGTCGAGGACCGGCCCAGCCGGGCCCCAACTCCCTCCATCTCCGGCGGCGGTTGGCGGTCGGTCCCGAGTTTTCCGACTCTGTCCCTGTTCTCAATGAATGAGAAAAAGCGGTAACGAGTCAGTCGAGTACCAAGTCCATTACCATACTGTTTATCTCCACCGCTTCATTTCGATAGCGGTCAAGGGTAAATTACAGTAATGGTCTCCAACCATTTGAAATTCTCAATTCGGTCCTTCCTCTCTCGAGTAACAATCAGGTATCTAAAGTAAGGTTAGGGCCAGCACCCAGCAGGGCAATTAAAAAAAAACATGTGTTTAGCTTTCTTAATTCTGATTTTTTAATTTTTTGATTTTATATTTAATCAAATAAAAAAAATTGTGAATATAATATTAAATATTAAATTAATTTATAAATAATTAAAATAATTTTTTTCTATTTTTTACATTTTTTAAATAAAAAATTAAAAAATCAAAATTAAGAGGATTGCACACACGTCTCTTTTCTATTGGCCTGCTGGACCCTAAACTAACGATATCGAATTAATTTCATGCCTAGTAATCTGTGACATGCTATATATGATTAATATTTTTGGTAGAAATTGTCAAATTGGGAAGAAAGGTAAATGAAGTATTACATAAAGGGGAAAGTTTTTAATGCAATTCAGTTTCTCATTTTTAGAGGAAGGGAAACACATTAAAAGATTCTTGTTGTTTTTTCTTATGGAATGAAATTAAGTTGTTTATATTTATAAGAGGAGAAATAAAATACAAGACAATATTTTTGTTATTTTCTTTTTAAAATGGTTTTAATAAAATCTAGTTATTTATCTCTAGAGTAAAGGAAACTACACGTAAGAGAAAATTTACATGAAGAGGAAACATGTGCGTTTCATTATAGTTGAACAAGATGAATCCTAATTAGTTTGAATGTTTTATCCGATTTGATAGGTTACAACCATGTAACTGAACACCCTTTAGCCTGTGGGAAGGTCGTTGGTTGTATGTAATAATTTTTAATGCATTCAGAACTTAATTTCAAGATTAAAAATTAAAAAGTTTTCTAGATGTGTTTGCAAATGGGTAATACTTGTGTGTTTCCGTTTTTCACCTTTTTTTCCCTATCTTTTAGTACAAAAGTGAGTTAATCACTTAAAAAGGGTAAAATTAAAAAATAAAATATATATATTGATTTATGCCACGTAATGTCTCCACATAGATATATACGTACAATAATTATATAATTAACGTTATTATTAATTCATAATTATTTTTAAAATTAGATTATTTCTCCTCATTATAATCTGTATCACTTTAAAATGACTTGCATAAATACACCGGCGTGATTGCTTAATTAATACTAGATTAATTTAAGTAAAAAAAAGTGAAGTGACCACTAACATGATAGTAGATGTGACCATCTGTGTATCTTGGCATGGCGTTGAGGTAGCCAGTAGCTAGATGGGCCTCAAGGAGGAGAACCCATGTCAGCTGCTTGGATTAATCCTTCCCAGGCCTCGTTGCGGGAATTGAGGAGGAAGCTGTCATTGTTGCTGGCAAAACCTTCAAGCTCAACTAGGGACTAGTTGCTTGCATTTTCCGTCTTCACCACTGCAGGCGTGCCCATGTGCCTGCCCTTCACTACCCTGACGCCATCTTTGAGCTTTGATTTTCAACTACCCAAATCTATGGCCAAGAAACCCAATATGACCAAGGAGAAGAATTCAAAAGACGGCTTTGTTCTCTGAATCACGTCCTCACCACCTACTTAATGACACCCTAAATTCTCTATTTTCCCATAGCGTCGCTCCCAAATCCTACTCTGGCGCTATCACCTTTAATTTCAAACCAACTCTTACAGCCCAAAAACTCTTTCCAACAAAACTCTCCAACCCCTTCCCTTCCCTCTCCAACCTCACCTTCCTGGAAAGGTCTTTCTCAAATTTGAGTATATGTACATATATTTTGGCATTTGTTTCTAATGGTGTTGAAACCAGCATGCATATAAGCATATCAAACTTCTTCAACAAATTTTTGGAGTACTTTTGCCAACGGGGAAATATTTTTTATTTGAGTATGATCAATTTCTAAACCAATAAAGTGTCTAAGTTGTCAAGTTCTTTCATTTGGAAATGAACTAATAAATTTTCCTTTGTTCGAAGAATTTCTTCTTCACTATTATCAGTTATGATTAAATCATCCACGTGTACCAACGTAATACCTAGCTTCCCTTCACTAACTTTGACAAACAAACTAGAATTTGCAGAAGTCACCAAATAGCCATTATAAAATAGAAATTCAACAATCTTACCCTACCAGGCCCTTGGTATTTGCTTTAATTAATAAGTGCTTTTTGCAGTTTACACACATACTTAGGATGATTTTTGTTCTGAAATCTCATTGGTTGTGTCATGTAAATCTCCCAATCCAACTCTCCATGCAAAAAAGTATTCTTCATGTCCGTTTGCCACAAGTTCCAGTCTTTGTTAGCTACAAGTGCAAGTAAGACTCGCACAGTTGTAAGCTTTGCTTTTAGGCTAAATGTTTTATATCAACTTTGCTATGCAAATGATCTAGTACAAATACATAGCATACACATCCAAATACTCGAAAGTAATTAACTGTAGGTTTCATGTCCCACAATTTATCAAAAGGTGAAGGAAAAATTAACCTTTGTTGAGGGAGTTTATTTATAACCAAGGTTGTAGTCCTTATTGCTTCTACCCAAAACCTTCCTAGTACATTCTTTCCATGTAGCATATTTTTACAAATTGTTGCAAGATGTCTGTTCTTTCTCTCTGCTATATCATTTTGATGTGGTATGTTGGCACAAGTGTATTGATGACACATTTGATACTTTCCTTGGTATTGGGAAAACTCACTTGGTCCATGTTCTCCTCCGTTGTCAATACAAAAATAAAGAATTTTCTTACCAACTTTTGCTTCAACTGTATTTTTAAATTTTTTAAACTTTGAAAATATAACAGATTTTTCTTTCATGAAGAAAACCCACACATACCTACAGAAATCATCAATAAAAGTCACCATCTATTTTATCCTACCAATTGGGAGCTGCTTGACAAGTCCAAACACATCAGAGTATACTAACTCTAATGGTTTCCCCACTTTAAACTTGGACTCTGCAAACGGCAATTGATGTGCTTTACCACACTAGCATCCTACACAAACTGTGTCTATTATTCAAGTTGAGGAAGTCCCTTAAGCACTAACTTGTTCATCATCATCTTTAATTAGGAGTAGCTAACCTGACCCAACCACATGTGCCATAAATCTGCTATCTCATTCCTTTTTGTTTTGTTCATATATGCAAACTTAACTGACATCACATAGATTAGATCTAACCTTCTCCCTTTTATGATTGACTTTTCTAAGATATTAATATCATGATACACCTTCACGTCTTATGGACCAAATAGAACAAAGTGACTTGATGATGTTAATTGTGCAACTAAAAGTAAAGTTTTCTTCATACTTGGAACATGGTGGACATTTTGAAGCAACACCTGGTGAGCACAGTGTTGGGAAGAAACTACTATCTTACCAATATGAGTTATCGGTAACTTTGATTTGTTAATTGTCACCACCACACGACTTATTTGTAGGTAGATAGGTTTTGCAACTTTTCTTTATCATCTGTCGTACGATTTGAGTAGCTTGAGCCAATGCTCCAACCATTCTCTTAATCAATATGTTCAGTTGTTGTTATTATGAGCTAACTCTTTTCTTCTATAGCAAAAAATGCTTCAGCATCCCAATCATCTTCACTTTTCTCCTTTGTATTAGAAGTAGTAGCGTTGCTTTTTATGGACTTTTTATTGGACTAACAAACTTTTGCCATATTACCTTTTCCCACAATTGTAACACTTCCCATCAAACATTTTATGGTTGCTATGATTCTTCAAAATTCCCCTTAAACGAGAGTTAACTTCTCCTTGATGACCTTTGTCCTTATCATCATTTTTCTTAGATCCACCAAAAGTGTACTGCTTGAAATTATCTTAACTTTTATTGACATATAGTACTTCTTCCTTACCTTTCAACGAGACTCCTCCTATTTGCTTAGCCATGAATTCTTGGCCAACAAGCAAATTTTCAAACTCAACACGTGATGGTTGCTTTGGCCATTCCTATATTATAGCAATGAAGCATCTGTATTCGAGTTTTAACCAGGGATAATTATTCTTTTATCTTGATTTCACCAATCGGAGCTTTTGAATCCAACTCTAAAATTTCATGGCATATCAACTTCACTTTGTGAAAGTACTAAGCAATCGTCATATCACATTGTGCTACCGCGACATTAACTCATTTTCTAAAAGTTGTAGTCTTGTATCATTCTTCTTTGAGGAAAGTGTAGCAAATATGTCCATGCTTTTTTTGGGGTTGTAGCATCCTGTATATGCTCCAACATATCTTTTTCAACTGTGGTCATTAAAGCAAACATGGCTTTGCCTACTTTAATCTTCTATTTCCACAACATACCATTTGCGTCTTTGCTTGCGGTTGTGTAACTTCATTTTCGTTGATGATCTCCCAGAGATCTTGACCTTGCATATAAGACGTCATACATGTAGCCCATGTATTGTAATTTTGATTGTTGGATTTCTTGATTCCTCCAATTAGATGAAGATTGCTCATCATGCCAACAAAGAGAAATCTCACTAGAAATATTTTGGCGCTAATACCAAAACTATTGAATTATTTTGAAGAAAATATATATTATATTATTAGTATTTATTCTAATAAAACAGCCTTATATAGGCTTGCAAGAAGACACAGTGTCCACGAATTATGACACATACTCCACTACATACACTAGCTAAATGTTGACAATTCACACTCAAAATAGTTACACACTTGGTCTAACCAATCTTGACTCCTTTTTTCAAAACTAACGATTGGTGTTGTAAATTTTAACAATAAAGAGAGAGAGAGTGAGAGAGAGAGAGAGGAAATGTGTGGAGCTCGAAATGCAGATTTGTTGATGGAATTGAATAACAATTGGACAATAAAACTTATTAGTTAACCGGATCGATATAGCAATAGCCACTTTAGCAGGTCAACATCAAGGGTAATGACAATTTGTCAAACCCTCCTCTTGGTACATGTAGATAGAGAGAGAGATGTGCTCGACTTGGTAGAGATTGTGT